TGATGCATCCTGGCGAGACTCGCACAGAACTGACCATCAGCCAACACTACACCTGGAAAGTCTGCGCAAAACTGTGCAGGCCGTATGTCAGCGTTGCCAGAGCTGCCAATGAACAAACCCAAACGCGTAGCTGGGATTGATGCCTCCAAGACTTGCGAGGAAATCCCTTGGAAAGACTAGTATTGACCTGATAGTCCTACAACGTCGGGATCCTAAGAAAAAGAATTCCTGCACACTTCATTGCTGACAATGATTGCCCGTAACCGGATGTTCGAGATTGCAGAATCCTCCAAGGCACAGACGAAGTAGCCATCGTCCTAGAACAAACGTGGTTACTCGTACCATGGCCTGCTGAGGTTTCATGGATAAGGACGGAATTCCGCGCAGAGTCGAAAAACTCTCCGGATGAATATGGACTTCGCGCCAAGTTCATCACTACGCGTCTATGGTCGAGCGTGCTATCAAACCATACGTAACTTGATCGCTGTCAAAACATCAAGTGCCAAGACGACCTCGTGAATGGATCCTGGGATGGAGTCCTCACGGTCGTTCGCTTTGCAATGAATGCCACGATTCATACCACCTTGCGTGCAACGCCCGCACAGCTCGTGTTACATCGTGACGCGATTCACAACGTCCGGTTTGAAGCCAACGGAAGTACATAAGGAACGCGCCAACGACTAATCCAACAAACAACGATAGGAAAACGCGACGCGTGTCCCTCATCAATACAATGTCACGAAAACGTGATGATTCAACGTAAGCACCGCAAGTACGGTCAGCCAAAGTACAAAGGTCCTTACACCTATAGACCGAGTCAATACAATGGCACTGTACGGCTCCGACATGCTACCGCAAATGGCGGCACAGTCTACCAGACTTGGAACATAAGGTATATACACCCATACAAGGCCGATCCCCTTGTAGGATTGCCATCGTGCGATGCACATGTTACATCCAAATCTCATGAGAGTGCCCCGCATTTAAATCATATGTTCTCCTTGTCCGACTGCTGTTGCCCTTCTGTGACCCTTGTCAGGGGGCGAATGCAATACACGGCTCTTAGCCTTTTATTGCGACTCGATCCTAGTATAGGGTTTGAGTTCGACTCATGACTGAGTCTCTCGTGAATAGTCATTTGGACAGGGTTCTAATGACGCTCTAGTCATACTAGGTTGATGATAACATCGCTCTAGATATTTAGCCAGCGTGGAGTACTTCCACGCTACTAGATCCATGCTAGACAAACCTTCACGCGTTCCGTTTTAGGATCGTGGAGAGACGTAGGATTACTACCGCAACCTACTCTATCACACTTTATAGTCTCCCGCGGGAGGCCAGATCTACGATCCCTTGATGATGATCTCTCTCGTTGATAGTTTTCATAGCTTTCTAATCTTTTCTCTCATAACTTTCATTCTCTCAAACTCAAAACACTCGAAAGATCTTTACACTAGCTTTTAGCGTAGTGCACCTGGTAGATACAAAGTAGTAATTGGTCATGTGACTGGAAGACTTTTGAAAGAGAGATGGGGTAATGCTGTAATGCTATCGGAGGGTTGGAAAGACAGTATACTTTTTGTATCTTTGAAACAAATTTAAATTTCACCTGCCTACCTGCGGATCCGGTCACCAATTATTTGTACGCCTGAGGAACCCGAACAGCGAGAGGCAACAAGAAGATACTCTTGGCTATCTGGTACCGGCAGTACAAATAATTGTGAGGCCAGTCCGATGGCACAAATCGAAAGCTGTTCCACAGAGTGAAAGAGTTTTGAAAGCATGATGATACTTGACAAATCAATTCCACTACTCTTTCTGTTGGCGGCGACTTCTTTGCAGGTCTCCGCCAATGAATGGGCAACCTTCAACGTCAACCCTTCCGGGAGTAATATCTCCAGCGTGGATGACTTGAAAGCTCACCTCTTTGCCAAGGAAGTTGGAGACGAGTTTGACCTTGATACTGTCATCAACGAGGAGATGTCGGCTTTGCTTACCAATGCAATCAACGCCGACAATGCCATGAACTTTACTTACAGGGCATGGCGGAACGCCTCTGAAGCTACTTCTACGGGCACTGCATTCCTCTGCAAACCTCTTGACTGTGACATCGTCATTTTGGGCATGAAGGCGTGTGATATTGCAGCCGATGAGTGTGCCGCAGCTGCTGCCTACAACGGCCAAGAATGTGCCTCGTTCTACTTCTTGAATCCAGAAATTCCGTTCTTACAAGGCGCAGCAGCGGACTGCTCAGGGATCTCATCGGAATATCCCGAATGTCGTGCACAGGATGATAAGGTAGACGAATTCAGTTATTTGGGGACCTGTACCGTTTGGATCGCGAATCTGATGGACACACCGACGTATTCTCCGGTCGAGGAGGACGTCGAGGAGGAAACGGCTTCATCAACCTCATCAGGGGAGAGTCCTGCTCCAACACCCGCTCCTGGAGGCACTTCATCAACCAGTGCAGCAGATCATCTCGTTCTTTTGGTCCCATTGGCTGCTTCTATGATTTGTATGTGCTTTCTTTGAGATGCATTGAGGAGAATTATTAGTGCTTCTGTGGTTTTCTTTGGCTTTGAGTTGACGGAATGAGTGTAACAATGAAGAAGATAAGGGATCGATTCGATTTGATTGAATCATTCGATTCGATTCTGCCCTTCCAATATGGTGGAGATGTACGTGTACCGGTACAGCCGCATGCATAATCTAACTAAGAATGGTTTTGTGTTCTGGGACGGAGGATGCTGGATGCAACACCGATAAACAAACTCTGGCTGGCTAGCTACTGGTAGCCAGTTGAATGAGCGAACAAGTGTGGCGTGGAACTCTTTATAAAGTCATCTGGCAGAGCGCCATTGGCTTGAAACGCCTCCTTCGACGGTACTATCGAATCCAGCATGAACGACACCAAATTGCAATCTATGGCGCCTTCTTTCACCTTTAGTTTCCCCCTCCAATCCAAGTTTCCGCTGAGAAAGTACAGTTCACCTTTTCCTGTTAGCTCCCTTCACGCATGACTTCACAAGAAAGGGCAATCCCAGAGTTGAAATCGTTGGACAAGCAACATTGACAAGTGCTGACTGCTGCGGCTCGCTACTGCACCCACCAACCGTACTTTAGAACATCGCTTACAGGCATAACGTTTGGCTTGGAGCTGCTCGTCGACCCATGTGGTACCGGCGAGCAGCATGCACATCCGCCTATATAAGACAGAGAATAGTGACTAAAACTGGCTGCGGTGCGGCCTCACAACCGAATGCGCCATAACGGTAGGTGCCACCCTACATACCGGTACAGCCGTACCGTACTAGTATGGCATCGTTCGTTCTCGTCAAATAGATTTCCCATTGCTCCATTCTGGAGCAACACAGTAACACAGCCCCTTTCCAAAAAGAGTTTGGTCGTTGTGTTCCTCATGAGAGCTTGACCTCTGCCGGCTTCCGAAAATAATACATAGGCAAAGCTCCATTTATTATTTAAGAGCATTTATCAGGGTCTGGTCGTTGAGCATAGTAATTAAGGATTCCGATATCGCTTCTTTTTCGGTTAATCTAATTTCACAATGTATGAGAAAGCTCAAGCGGGGCGACTCTCCAAATTCCAGGTGCCGCCTCTGCAAATTCTTCGAACAGTTGAGTTTTTGCCCATGACCTTGGCCATTTTTGTCATCCAAAAGACAGACTTGTTCGTCGAGTAAGGTATTGGAGTTGTTGTTGCTTGGCATCATGAAAGCTTTAGATTTGGTTGTCCTTTTATTGGGTTGTTTCCTTGTGGCAAGCCCACCACTGGCGACGGCAGCTTCGTCCATCCGCGGAAGATCTTTGCTGCCACATCCCCCCCCTCCTCCTCCGCCGCCGCCTAATCCTCCTAATCCCAATCCTCCTAATCCCAATCCTCCTAATCCTCCGAAGCCTCCGAAGCATCCAATGAATCCTCCCCCTCCCCTTCCCAAGGGTTCCAGTGGTGGTGGTTCCAGTGGTAGTGGTGGTTCAAGTGGTGGTGGTTCCAGTGGTGGCAGTGGCGGCAGCGGCGGATCCAGTGGTGGCAGTTCCAGTGGCGGTAGTTCCAGTGGTGGTGGATCCTCTGGCGGTGGATCATCTGGTGGTGGATCCTCTTCTTCGTCTGGAGGTGGTGGTGGTGCTAGCGATAGTCCTGGTCCTGGACCTGCGATTGCAACGGTCAAGGCGTTGTATACGTCGGGTTTGTTGTTGGCTCTAGTTGGATCCGTGGCAGTCGGAGCGCTGGCCTACATGCTTCTCTTTGCACGGCGGCGTAGAAGGCGAGCACCAAAAACCATTGACAAAAGTAGTCTCATCGATACCAAGGCAGCATCCAGGCCATACTTGAAAGAGGCGCCTTCCGAGGTGTATTCATCAACGTCCGATTCGTCTTCAGACGAAGATTCCTGCACGGATATTGAACTAGCTCGCACCAAGTCGTCCTTTGATGCGCGCAAACCAATGATACAAAATTTGATGAAAGATGACAGTCATTGGAAACCCATTGGCGGTGGGATCTACCTGCCCCCAGTCCACGAGAAGGCACCAGTTGTGATGCCCAAGAAGCCGACCAAGCAGACGACCAAGCAGACGACCAAGCAGACGACCAAGAAAACGACCAAGAAAACGACCAAGAAGACCACCAAGCAGGAGAATAAGCGACTTCCTAGGAAGTCCCGCCGAGCAGAGGAAAATCAAGATGCAGAAGCCCCGTGGAACCCAATTGGTGGAGGCATTTATCTATCACCGTCCAAAACTACTACTGAGAACAAGACAAACACACAAACACAATCAGTGAAGACAGACGAGGCTGACAGAGGAACACGTAACGAGGCATCACTTAAGGAGGAAGAATCTGACCAAGAAGAACCTAAGATTCAAACGGAAGAAGAGTGGAAACCCATTGGCGGGGGCATTTATCTATCTCCCCCGGGTACACTAACTACTGAGAACAATAGAAACGTAGAGAACCCACCCCACAATGACAAGGCAGAAGAGGTTCGCAGAGGAAAATCTGAGGAGGCAAGCCCATTAGCTATTGCGACGGAAGAGGAGTCTGAAAAAGAACAAGATAAGGAGGAGGATGTGGAACCAGAGAATCCTACGACGGAAGACCCACCTCAGAGTACCCTCATTGGTAGTCCGCAGGAGGATGAGGATGACAATGACCACACAACCAAAGAACCACGCAAAGATGTGGCCTTGGTTGGAGATCCGGAATGTAAGGAAACAGACAGTTTATGTTCCAAAGGAAGCAACTCCATTGCATCCACAGCAACCTTCACAGAGGACCTCCATGAAGTACCTCCACATACCACTTGTACCGTTTGTTTCAAGGAAGCGTTTGGTGTTATGAAGGCCTGTCAATGTGGCAGGATCGAATGTAACAAGTACGCACACCTGACTTGTGCCATGCGAATCAATCCAACACTATCAGTATCCTATCCTGGCACTCCACCACCAATGCTTCCCACTGTACTCTGTTCCGGAGGCCAAACCTACCTCAAGAAAGAGCCGCTCGAAAGTAAAGCGGAACAGGTATCTTCTCCTTATACAAGGAAATGGGATTACGTTTGAGGAAATCAATCAATTCGGCCTTGAAAGTTGCACCTTTGCCAAATACTGCACAGTCACGCTACATATCAGCATACACACACGAAAACATCAAAGGCTCTCTTCTTGAGTCACGCGCTGTACATTGACTTTTGATGGGACAATCGCTATAGAGCCTTTTAAAATCAGTCAACACATCATAAACCATACCCACCATTGAACCAGGGGCACCCCCCCCCCCCGTTCTATCTGTTGCCTCTTTTCTTTTCTTTTCTTTTCTCGAGCGGTGGTTGGCGCGAGGCAAATTTCAGTTAGCTTCGGGCTCGACCGCTCGCTTCGACGAGATTTGTAAAATGAACGCCCCGCACGGGCCTTCTGGGTTGCTTTGGTACGAACGCTCTCGAAAAACGGGACGGGGCGCTTGGCACGGAAACTACTGCACGAAACAAGCTACATGTACGATCAGGGGGGGGGGGCTTCCGGAGTAATTCGGGAAACAAGGAATCTAAAATTTCTCTACAGGCCAGCCAGGGCAAGGCGAACGGCAAGACAAAGACGCGTGGCAGCGGGTGTGGCCTCCTCTGCAGCATCGCCCCGTTTCGCTGTTGCCTTGCCTTGGGTTCTTCCTGCGTTTTATCTTCGATGGGGGAATGCGTGCGTAATGCTTCCTCACGGCTGCCGATGAAGGAGATCGGCAAACAACCCGGCGCCGCCTTTGAGAGAGACATCCCCTTGGCGCTGCAGCTGCTGAACGCGCTTGGCCATCAGTCCAGCCTCCTCTTTGGCGCTCGTGCCCCCACCTCGTCGTCCTGCTGCCGCGAGCAGTTCAATAAAGCTGTAATCGATATCAAAACAACTCAAATCAACATGCTGTGGTTTGATCTCGCTGATCAAGCCCTGCACTTCCTCCGCGCTACAGCTTGGAACACAAGCATACCCAATGGCGTCGCTGCAAAACTCCACCACCACAGCCTCGCTGTCGATTGTCGGCTCGCCCGGATCCTGTTCGCCATCATTGTTGTTTCGATCTTCGAATTCAGTGATCGAATTGCGTCTTGGTAAGTAGCGGTTTGGGGATAACATGAGGGCGCAATGTTGTCGGCATAGGGTCCCCAAATGTTAAACTTGTCGGGGCAGAGCTGGTAGACTGTCAGAATCCGCAGAAGGCTGGAGGGCACCCAGTCGTTTTGTTGGCATCGGAGTGGTACACGCGTCCAAGTGGCAGTGATCGCGACTTGTTCCACTGTGCTTCCACTGCAAGTAACGTCTTCATAAAGTTCCAACAGCTGCCCACCAGGAGCCGCGGGCATGGTACATTCGATAGTTCCGCCATCGACAATAGAGCATGTTTCCAATTGCGTCCAATAGCCCAGGACTCCTCCTCCTCCACATTGGACCGTGAAAGAGTAGTCGCCGGTGGCATCACATCCGCTTTCTTGGTAGCCGGCGATGACGCGATAGGACACGGTACAATGGTCTTGTCGTGGGCAAAGTAAGGCGAAGATCCCGCGCTGTGCGCTTCTTGGGTGGCAAGGGCAGTCACCTTGGGTAATGTCCAACCGCTGCACGCAGCAAAACTCCCGATGAGGTCGTAACAAGAAGCGGAAAAGGAGCAGCTGGTGCCGATCATCAGACCACCATTGGTTGGTCCTTCGCACTCGTGATTCCAAATGGGGAATCTCAGAGGAAAGTAATAGTCACCCCTCAGCGTAAGATCCAGCTCGAGGATATCCGAGACCGACCGGATCTCGATGTAGCGAGTAAGGGAATCGAGATAGTTGTTTGCTGCATAGGTAGTCTCGGGCATGCTGGCGGATATAGACAGGACGTCTTCCGGGGTCCCCACACAGGCGACAGAGACATGGGTGTTCAATGCGTTGACGCCGCGATTGGTAGGGATAAAATTGGAACAAACCAAGGTTTCCGACTGCAGTTCGCAGTCGCACACAAGAGACGGGGAACGGCGCCACCACCGCACTCAATTTCCACTGGCGCTATCTCAAAAGCTGGACTCGCCAGAGCCAACCAGGAGAACGACACCAAGTAGCGGGCTTCTACAAGGGGCGGCGGCGCTTCTGCCAACCCAGAGGCCGAAGCGAGGCAAGAGCAGGAGAGGAGCAACAAAGCAGGGAACGTCTTCATCGTGATCGAGAACAGAAATAAATGAGATCCTTTGGGAGGAAACGAGGAAACGGATCGGGGGTGGCCCCACCACATTCAGATCTCCAGATCTCTGAGGACTCCTTGTTGGTGGTCCAATCCGGGCGAGGAATCTCAGACTTGCTCGCACGACAGAAGTGCTGTAAGTAAATGAGATGCCTGTGTACAGTCGTACCGGTACCGGTACCGGTACGCCTGGAGTGCAAGCGTCGTCGAGAAGAGCAAAACAGACCTTTTCGGAGGCGGTGTGGCGGTCCATGTGGGCGAGGAATGAGACTTGCCTTGAGTAGTTAGTTGAAATGATATCCAAGACTGAGTCTCTCGATCCACGACTGGTGCGAAGGAGGTCAGAAATAAGCCAGTGGAGACGGAAAAGGGGGTATTGCACCAGGCCCCAAGCACGGATGGCAAGAAGATGGAAACAGCTGGTAGCTAGGGCAAGTTAGTCTTGTCACGAGCCTACGATCAATTCCCCAGACCACAAAACATCACGAAACGATAGTCTAGCTAGTTTATTTCTCAAATCCCATCGTAGTATACCTGGAGCTGTTCGGCTTGCGGATTCCCCGTTCCCAACACGGAAATGAACTCCTCCAGGGCGGCCTTGACGACGGCGATTCCCGACTGTTTCATGGACAGTTGCGACAAGATGCGTTCATGACACCGTTTGGATCCGACACAACAAAACCCGGCAATGGCTCCCAGTCGATGAAAAATATCACCGCCACCTCGAAGTTTGGCCTCCAATGCGGCATCTTTGGCCAGGGCATCATCGAGTTCTTCTTCGACATCGGATTTCCAGAATTTGAATTCGGCCAAGCGTTCTTTTTGATCGTATGACAGCAGCAGCTCCACGAGTCGATCGCACTTGTCGTCGTCGAGGAATTTGGCCAGAAGTCGTTGTTTGGCATCTTGTGGCGACTTGTCCGTCAAGTGTCGTGTGAGGGCATAAAGGATCCGAATGGTTTGATTGTCCATCGCGTGTAGCCATTCCTTTTTGGCTTTGGTAATGGCGGATTTCTTCTTATTATTAGTGTTGTCGTTATTCTTCTTGGCCCAGCTGAGAATGGCAGGTTTGGGGAGTTGCCGACCCATGTAGAGTGGGAAAAAGTACTTGAGTCCATTGGCTTGTGCGACGAGGTGTTCGGCCGCCTTTTGGTAGACGGCATGACTTCCCGAGAAATCCAGTAGTTTGAGCGCCACACCTCCGGCATGGACTTTTTCCTTCAAACATCGCAACACCAGCTCGATTCCTTGGGCATCGAGAAATGCCTGCACGTTGGGTGGCGAAAATGTCAGGGCCGCTTCGATGCAAATGACGGCATTCTCGAGTGCTTCGACCTCGGTTTCGTTGGCGGGTTGTTGTTTCCGAAAGGGTGCAATTCCATTCACGAGCAATATTTCCATTCCGTCAATGGTCTTGTCGTTCTGTTTTTCTGTTTGGTCATTATTATTATCCTCCTCTTCCTCCTCCTCCAAGGCCGATTTGTAAGCGGGTAATTGGGTCCAGTTGGGATGGATGGTATGAACTTCCTCTCTCTGTACAAGAAAGGCCAGTATTTCGAGTGCACGATCTTTGGAGGGTGTATTGTCTTGAATCTGTAGAAAGAGCCATGATAAGAAGGGCGTCTCTTTCACGAGTTTGGCAGCCACCGAATGATCGTCGGAATCTACGAGAAAAGTAGGATTGTCATTGTCGTTTGTGGTTTGGAGCGTGAGATCCATTTCGAGCAAGTTTTCCATGAGTGATAGAACATCTTGGACGCCCTTTCCAATTCCCTCCTGCGCTTCTTGCTTTTCGGTGGTTTGCTGTAGCCGTTTGAGATTGCCTACAATGAGTTCCATCAAGTGCTGTAGAGTGAGTTTGGCCAAACATAAGACGGGTTGATTTCTTGCATGTTGAGAAGACAGTGTGGTGTCCAAGAGAGCTGGATCCAATAGTTCCAGTAACAGTGCCACAAGAGTGGAAACCACGTCCGCGTTGGGGTGCATGCAAAGCTGCGTGAAAGTGTCGGACCACAGAGTGTCGTTGCTTTTGTTGTTTGTGAGAGGAGGATACAGATTGGTAGGATCCGCTGCAATGGGCTGCAGTGCTGCGATGGCTTCATAGAGCGCCACTTCACTGTCCATGTAGAGCTCTGGTTCGTCCGGATGCTGCGATCGCTGGATTTGATTCTTCTCGTTGGCTTTCTGTAGATTCTTAATGGCATTCTGCACGCCTTTGGAAGTCAAATCAATGACTTTGGTGTGATTTTCTTTGGCAGCTTGTTCCGCTTCTTCCAGTAGAGTGCTGTTATTGCTGTTATTCTTGGATGGAATGGTTCGGACCGTGTTTTGATCTTCCGCAAATACAACAGATCGCTTGGCTCTTTTCGCAGAAGGAAGATCCACAGGAGATACCATCTTGTGCTTGTTATTGGCAGCTTTCGTAGCACTACTAGTAGTTTGTTCTTTCTGCTGATGTGGATCCAAATGATACCCAAGCCCGGTTTTCTTTACAGTCCCGAAAAAGTAACCAGGCTTGGAGCCTTGCCATGTCTTGGCTGGAATGAACGAAACCAGATCATCACCACTGACACCCGCCTTCTTAGCCTTGACTGAACTTGAAGACACCATACTAGTAGTACCTGCTAGCTCGCTAGCTAGCTACTAGAGACGAGTGTAGTTTCTGGGTGGCTGGACTTGGTTTTGATGCTCTGATGAAGATGAATGCTTGCCATTGTCTCCTCGATCGATTGCTGCTCAGAGATCCTATTCGACTCATTGGAATGCCTTGTCGTGGCTGAAAATCCATACAAAAGATTTTTAAAAAAAGCCATCAGGCCGGCAAGACATTGCTACGGCAAATCATGTTGTCCATGGGATGAATACTAGTACGGTATACATGTGCCCAAGCTGCTCTAGATGGCCGTTTCGAAATTGTGACTTGGAAAGGCTGCCCATGGGATGAGCAGACATGCTCACATGCTGCTCTATGTGGACAGTTGGAGTTTTAAAAATGGGCTCGCGAAAATGGTTGTCCATGGGATGAGCAGACGTGCTCATATGCTGCCCGACGGGGACATTTGGAAATTTTGAAGTGGGCTCATGAAAATGGTTGTCCATGGAATGAGTATACATATCAAGAAGCCCGCGCGTCTTTCCAAGCCAGAATGATCCAAAGCGAAGTGATCCAGTGGCTACACGACAATGACTGCCCTGGGTCTCGTGATGAAGGGGACTACAAGTAAGTATAGCTATCTATTGTTTTAGTGTCGGGTGATCTTGGTTGCATCCACCACTATGAAACAACAACAAAATCTTTATGACGGATACTTGTCACAGCCCATCACTGCTATTATGTGTGCCTGTTGCATTTTCCATTATCCCCTTAATTTCACTAGTAGTAGTGCCTAGAGGCCATCATGGTCGCTTGGTGAAATAGGAAGTGTCGTGGTGGGCGCAACAGTACAGTCGGTGCAGTTGTGGACTTTCAAGCCAGGGAAGCTAAGATGAGTATGAAGGGGGCAATCCTTGGCTTACGACTTCGAACCAGGGAAGAAACAAGTGTTCCAGTCCAAACGCTTACTAACTACGTTGCTTTATGGCTAGTTCTGTGCTCTTTTGTTGCTTGTTTATTTGCTTGCTTGGCAGCTACCGACCGGTACGGTACCGGTATCGGTACCATACTTCTTGTTGCGTGTGAACAGCCTGAGCACATTGACATGTTTAAATAATATTGTAAAGACGAGTATCCAGCTGAGGAACGCCGAAACTGAACGAGCAACACGAACAACACGCTGGTGGGTTTGTCATGCCTAGGAGGAGCGTCGTTGACGAGTGCGTGGACTTCGTCGAGGCTCGGGGCGGTTGAAGATGGGCACGTTGGCAGCATTTCGGATCTCTTGCTCGTCGAAATCGCAGTGGCGCACGGATGTGAAGTGACCGTGAAGCTCCCGCCATTTCTCCTCTCCTAGTTCCTCCCGCAGGGTCTGTTAGTTCGTACGGTATTGGATTTGAGATTTGAGACAGTGTAAGATGTGATCGCGAGCACCATCGAGCCGTACCGGTACCGGCAGAACAGCAATCAAGCAAGCAAACAAGCAACTTACGTGAAGTTTCTGAAGTGTGCGCCAGCGATGAAACTTGTCGTTGCACATCTCTTCAATGTCTTCCTCGTCGTACTCCTCCTCATCATCGTCATCTGAATCAGGAGTAAAGTCCCAGTCATCGTCAACTTTGGCAATCAGATTCATGTACATGGGGCATCGTTTGGGGTTGGTCTTCCAGCCCTCGTTGTGGCCATAGATCGGTTCCGAGGACGCCACGCCTCGTCGAGGAGCCTTGTCACACTCCTCCACACTCAATCCACAGAGGTAACGCCAATCCGTCTCACATCCCTCGCAAGTCATGTGAGTGCACATGCCATCCTTGCTGTTTCGCAACGAAAAATGTTCCCTTAGAATGCCGCACAAGATAAAATAGCCATCACCATTCAACTTGTCGCATGCTTACCGTCCCATCACACCACATCCAGGGCATGGCATTCCAGCGCCTGCTTGAATAGCTGCATCGAACGCCGCCTTTTCTTTGCTCAGAGCACTGCACTTGAGATGAAAGATATGAGCCGACTGGCCGCTCATGTACTCTTCCTCGTCGTCGGAATCTTCAATTTCATCTTCATCCATCAATCGAGGGAGTTTGGCCTTGCAACCAACACAATGCACAACCTCACAAGCCCGACACCAAAAGATGGGAGCTTCGTAGGAGTGTACCTCGTGATAGCGGCAGTTGACACAACTCACAATGCGCTCGCCTTCCTCGAGGGTGTGCATTGCCACATAGCTCAAATAGGTCGAGAGCTGGTCTGGTTTCAAGATGCGTTCCAGTGAGAGAGACGGAATGGGTCCTCGACAGACACTGCATTTGGGATGGGGAGTGATTGCCATCGGTCCAGCCGCCAAGATGCTCTTGCAAAAGACCGCACTGCATTCGCCACACAGAGTGTGTCGCGATTGACAAGCCAGCTTTGCGGCATCGTCATCTTTGATGGGATCACAGCAAGACTCACACTTGATGACGCCAGCATCTTTCTTGCTTACCCGCGAAAGCGAAGAAGTGGAGATGCTTCGCTTCATTGTTGGATTTTCTGCCCGTCAAATCAAAAGAGAAAGATGCGAGTGAAATCCCGTCGTTGGAAATAAAATGCGGAGGGTTTGTAGATAGAAAGTGACGCTTTTTTGTCGGTTCCTTGGCTCAATACCACTGTCGACACACGTCTTTATGGCGCTGTGGTGATGATGCTCTGGTACAGTCGTACCGTAGCCCAAGACGAGTATGCTGTGCTTTCTTTTGCGAGTGAAATTGGTTTCGATTCAGCGTCAAACGGTGCTTTCGCGTCTATGACAAACAAAGCAGCTGTCCGACGGAGAACACCGTTCGAAGACCCTTTGCTGCTCGCACCCTAACAATACACAGTCAACACTTCGGTGAAATGATAGTGATGGTAAGGGTGTCGCGCCTTACAAGGGGGATGCTTGGCTATCCTGAATTGACAAAGAACAAATAAATTTAATCCAAGCTTTCGCTCTTCTGAATTGATTTGTGATGGAGGTGTCGAACAGATCGGCTTCGGCCGTTTTGGATGTTCCGCAAAAGGAGAAAACAGCTCTGCAGGTTGTTTGATTTTTCGGCGTTCTTTCTTCTTCCACGTGGAGAAGAATGCGACGAGTCCAAAGATCCAACGCCATTGGAGATCCCAAGTCCCAAGCTAGTAGAGATGATGGCTTTGACACCTCCCGACGCATTGACCCTCATCATTCCCACAAAGCATTCTTCGAGTCTCCATACCAAGCTCATCAAGGTTGCGCTTCTGGGCTGCTGATAATACAGTATCAAGTTAGAGAACGACGATGACTTCCTCGTTTTTATCTTCAAGATGTTTTCCTGTTCTATTTCTCTGGATGTTGTTGGCATCTGATAATGTGACCTCGTTTGTACCCTTCGCACAGCAGCATCGGCCACTCCCACAACAATCCTCTTCCGCCACATGCCTGTATCTACGTCAAGTCAAAGTGGGTCTGCTCGATGTTCCCGACCCCCAAGAAGGAAAACAGGACGAGAATCAACCATTGGTCGTCATGCCCTTGCCATCGGATCACTTGCCCAATGAATTGCGAGATCTCAATGTCTACGGGATGGAACTCACTCGACCCGTCCACAAACTCATTATGGAAGATGCCGTCGAACGAGCCTCCAGTGGAATGAACAATAATAATGGCGATGACGACAAGCCAATCTATGGTCACGTGGCGTGGAAACCCCAGAAAGACTCGTGGGAAGGAGCCATTGGATGTGTTTCCGAAATCATATTACAAGCCGATGGTGGCAATGTTGATGCTTTACTCATGGGAGGTGGCGTCGATCAGGGATCCATGCTCGAGACAGCGGCGCAGCAAAATGAGGATGGAAATGTCCCCAAAACAGTGGTCACATCGGGAGGCTTTCGATTTGTCGTCAGAAAAGTCATTCAGGAAGTGCCCTTTCCCGTTGCCATGGTTGAGGAATTACCCGATGAAGATCCCTCTGATGGTTCCAGCATTGTCGCGGCAGAGACAGAGGAGGACGACGAAGAAGAGGATGACGACGACGAGTATTCCGACATGGATCCTCCCGAAATGATGAAAGAACTCTTTCGATTACTACAAACCTACGTCGACAAAAACGTCCAAGATGCCGCCAATCAACAAATGTCACCCCTCGAAGAGGCCATTCTAGAAGGAGCCGCTGCCGCAACTGATCCCATTACATTGGAAAAGGTTCGATCGGAACAAGTGGCGGCCACCTTGATTGCCTTTCGAGGGAGTATTCTAGATATTGCACCCACACCCACAGAAGGATACTTTTGCATTGCATTCATGGCGGCGGAAATTATGGACTTGAAAAATAGTATCCGACGAAAACTATTGACCATGGTCGATGGAACCGAACGATTGCGAGTCGTATTGCGACAAGTCAAGGAAGCCACTGGGATGGCTCAAGCACGACGGATGGCCAAGGAAATTACCGACGCCAATGACGAAAGCAGTCGAGATCTTAAGGTAAGTCAAACACTTTGCTTGTGCATTCATTCGATGGAACATGTTTTACCGTCGCTATCCTGGACTTGCTCGCTTTGTGCTCACCTCTATCTTCATCTTCCTCCAAGGTCGGAACGCCAGAACTGCCGCCATGGAGCCGTCAAATAACCAAGGGAATGAAGCTAGAGTACTATTGGAATGAAGGTTCGTACTGAATCAATCGCTGGATTGCCTTTTGACCTGATGCTGTAACATTGCTTGGTTCTTTTCATCCCGCTGACCGCTTTCCTCCACTACGGTCGTCTTTCACTCGCCAAGAATGGGAATGGTGCGCAGCAGAGGTTATTGACGATCCCGTCATGGTGGTCGATGAACTGCTCGTAACCGTGCGATTCGACGATGGAGAGGTACACAAACTACCATTCCATCCAGATGAAAAAGCTCGATGGAGGCCTGCATAGATACCACTTCGACACTGTAGTTTTTCATCAACCAGCAAAGCAAACTGGCTAGCTAGAAAGTTGCATTGTTATCGCTAACTCCTTCATGCATGCACACAGAGATGCTGTAGTTAACCAGCAGCTTAACCAGCTATGCCTCATGCATTCCTCCTTAGCAATTACTGCATGCAACGCAACCAAGTGGCCGTAGTAGTCACGGTATGTACCGGTCAAGCGGACAATGGCGCGCTGCTAATTCTTGGTCTTGCTATGTTCAATGCTGTCACTTGAAAGATGCCAGTAGGGATGAAGGCCAAAAATAGGTTGATGCTGTGTTTCTACTGAGTGCTGGTGGCATCTTTGAATGAGTGCAAAAACTAAGGTTGCTGAAGCGATACCTACATTCCTAGAGCCAGCAGGAACTTTGCATGCAGGACATGAGATTGGCTGGGTTCAACCTCGCGTATCAGTCCCGACACTGACGAAGGTATCGTGCTACATTCCCGTCGCGCATCGCCACTACACTAGCGTGAATGACGGCTTTGCTTCAACTTCAGCAATAGCTTACGTAGGCCTGTAGTCACCACAGTCCCTTGGGTGAGCTTCAAGCAGTATCCAACCTGTCTCTCCACAAGCTCTTCCCCTCTGCCTAATACCCCCACCAGTATTGCAGCAGTTAGATGCATTCGGTTGCACGGTTCAACATCCACGGGGGTGCAACTGTTTCGGCCATACAAACATCCAAGGTAATCTCAGGTTCTTTTGTTCCTCTAAGCAAGGTGCGCAGTCCGAACAGCGTCACTACCACGTACCACTTTGACCTGTTCTCCTTGGCAACATCCGAAGATACTCTCGTCCACTCTGAAACAAAGTGTTGCCAGATTACCTGTATCCGGTACCTTCAGCCATAAGAAGAGGTCGGTTCTAAGATCGATCCCACAACAACGGTCACCGGTTAGCAGTATTCTGAAAGCTGTTCTGAAGTGGCTTCTTCATGCTCGCCAAAATCAAAAAATGGTCTAATTACTCTTCTCTACACGACTACAGGCTTGGTTATTCCGATTGCGCCCGGGTGAAGGCACTCCCGCCATTGATCTCCTAGCACGACCGGCCATTCATGTAACCTTCCGAACAAATCCGAAAGAGTTTCCCACGAGATGCGGATTAGGCCCACAATTCCCATCTCCTCACAAAAAAAAAACACAACCAACCCGATTTAAAAACGGCCAAGCCACAGTTCTAAAGAAGACACAATGCTATCTCAACCAAGAGCTCCATTCGATATTCCCATGAGCCGCTTCGCTCACAATGCCGAGGCACTTTGGCAACTTCCCAGATACCACACGGAAAAGATTGCTGACGGTTCGGAGGGTTCTTCTCACAATGCATCTAGCGCACCACTTGGTCAGGCTAATGGAAGACATGCACTGGGTAACGTAACGAATACCACCACTTTGCCTCAGCGAATACGTGATGCCAACAGGGAGACGGGCGAAGAAAATGCCTATGGGCGGCTGAGCGGCCCATCTTTCTCCATGTAAACAAAGGTACAAAGCGCAACCAGTCCTCCAGTAAATTGTTCCGTACATGTAGAAGCGCCTCTTGCCTGGAGCTCACCCACCAAATCGCATCAGTCGATACTTTATAATACATAGACATACGTTTTCATTTCTCATATAGAACATAGTATCTTGTAGAAAGCCACATTGGATGGAGCTCACAGACCTTGCATATGAATAGTCTGAGGGTCATACTGTACGATATGAGCAAAGAGTGACTGGCCCGAAGATATGAAGAACACCTGTGACCAGGTTTTAGGGTCACACAGGGGGCGAGGGGGTGACAGTGTCCCGGTACCTTACGACTCCCACGATAAGTTCGAATAGCAGAAGAGCGATTCGGTGGTACTCTGCAACCCAAAAGGATTGCAAGCCAAAGGATGTTTTTCTTAGCAAAAGCAGCGCCGTGACCCATGGCGGGGGTATCCATGCATATGGTAGAGGCGGATTGGATCTAGCTAGCGATGGTGTGGCATTTGGCCAGGGCACTACAAGGTTGCTACGACGGTTATGGCGCAAATTTGGGCGGAGGCTCTGGGTATGATCATTGCACTCGCAAGAGAATTCCGTGGCAGGGTGGATTAGCACTCTCGCTTTTCGCTGCGTTTGGGCACCCAATTTTCTCGACGAAAAGACGAAGCATTGTACATGCAGAGCGAGTAAGGGACGGTTGAGTCCATACGTGTGAAGCATGAACTCAATGGGAAGCCCAGAGAGGAAACAATGCCAGGTACGGCTTGCATGGTTGAGTACCGACAAGAGAGGGGTGGATCGGAAGACACTACCGGAAGTAGCTGTTTGAAGTGAGAAGGGGAACGTTTCGATGAGCAAAAAATGAGGCTTAGAGGAAGAGGGAGACTGAGTCACTCGACTCGGGAACTCCAATGCTTCACCAGCAGGGTTAGAACCTTAGGGCACTTCTATCTTGTACCGCTCGCTCATGGCTTGCTAGCAAGCTGATGGCTTCGGTTCCCCATCTCGGGAGCGTTGAGGGTACCGTAGGTTTTCGAGTACATGTAACAAAGGGACCTCGGGTGCGGAAGCCCAGCAGACGGAAGCTGCAATGATCCCCATCCAGGAGAGTGGCCTCCCATCGGAGCAAGCTCCCGATTAATCTTGCGATCCAAAGGGAATATGCTGTCGAGCGAGTGTTGTCTGCGACGACCCTCGCAAGACTGGCAAGCTGCTTGTCCAGTGGTATTCAATGGTATCGTCGCAAAGCTCATTGCATGCTTGCTATTGTACACAACGCCTGTGGACATGAATATTATGCATTCTGCTAGTATTAGCTTTGTACAGAGCTATGTGTGATTCGAGCTTGCTCCGGGTCAAACCGCAGCCGCATTAGGCGGCAGATCCCGCGCAAGAAGTCTTGAACGAAGGGCAGCGAGTAGGTCTCATTGGCATCGAAAGCGACTTGGACAGAGTCAGCTTGTCCTTCCCACTAGCCTGTCTTCGAGGGATCAACGGCGGGCCGCACCTTCGTCCTCTTCTGGGGCGCATGGGCGATCTGGTCCTAAGAGGTCGCTGCGAACAAGAGAGTTGGCGGCCGCTGGATTGGCGCTTTGGCATCTGGGGGAGAGAATCGTTCGATATCGATCTGCGCACCATTTGGGGAGGAGCCCATTCGCTGTCTTTCTCGTCGTCTACATCTGTAAAAGCCAGAGACGTTAGTGTGATACTGGTGAAACTGTCCTGAGAGAGAAGAGTTGACTGGCTGTCGTGGAGGTTCGGTGTGTGGTTGCTTTCCTGACGTGATGGGAGGCCCGGGCAATCGTCAGGGGCCGCCTCGTTCGGCTCCCATCGCTCACAGTGGTCACTTGTAGAACAAGAGCAAGAGCAGGAGCAAGAGCAAGAGCATGTTGTGGAGTTGTCGTCATCGTCGTTCGAAAGGGATGACAACCCTTGAAGGGCAAGGCTGGAGAAGGATGCTTCCATTTTCTGCGTTCTAAACGAAGTGAGAGAGCACGACAGACGAACAGTGCTGGATGGTCTTGATTCCGAGTCGAGGCTGGATTATGACAACAGGAGCTCTACTTGAGTTTTGCAGTTCGTGTAAGTTACTTTGGTGACATTCGCGCTCCGCTGGGACAAGATTCCAGTCTTGATGCGTAAGCGAGAGCGTGCGAAGATTGAAAGTGAGCAAAAGGTAAAGCGAGCGATCCGGATAAAACTTTATGCCCTTTGCTGTACATTGTAGTTCCGGTAGCTTCAACAAAACAGTATGGGGCTTCAAACACCTGCAGAAAACCGGTCAACAACCTCTCAAAAGGTATTGGTACCAGGACGTAGCTAACTGCATGCTGTATGCATGTATGCGGAATGCGGACCTGTGCTAACATGCATACTCATGCATGCACTGCGTATTAGCTCACTGCGTTTGGAAGCAGTTTTGTGGCTGGATCTTTGCAGTTCTGAAATGACATTTATTTCTAAGGGTCATTTTACAAGAAAGAATCTGATCAAGAAAAGCTTCAAGAAACTGGTTCCCCTGCTTTCCAGTAAAGAATCCTCCTCGCTGCCAGGGAAAGCGCTCAATAAATCGGGCTGTTGAACAGAGAAAAGAAACGAACCCTACTTTTTGATTTGCTTAAATAATTTCAACTGCGGTAGCTCTGCGGTGCACCCATTAATATTGCCCATCATTGCTCTTGCTTCGTGCTGCCCTGCTATGCATAAATGACTACTGTACTCGGAGTATTAACGGTAGTATTGCCTACTATCTGCTTCCGTTTCGGGGTGGTGGTAGAAAAAGAAAAGATCTGTCAATCTTCAAAGAGCTACAGCAACTAAGACATATACCGTAAGCCGACATACAACATAACAACTGTTGGTTCTACAAGAGGTACGCAGTAGTATGCTGAAAGCTGAAAGCTCTATGACCTTGTTCTCGTTAGTATTCCGGCAGTATTCCACTACTAGTACAGCCACCTTTCTGGGTGGCTTGGTTTCGAACAGGCAACGCACCTGTTGGCTGGATGGCCAAGCGACATGCGACATGTTCGCTTATTTTTCATTTCATTCGCATCGGTTTGATGGCGAGTTTGAGAAAGGAACCGGAAGACTGCCACAGCCACATACAAGCTCAGTGTGCGAACCAAAAAGCTTACTGTTGCTCGAGAGACCTGCCCCATTCCCCCATGCGGTACCGGTAAGGCCACATCATTGAGGTGGCGACGACAAATGAGAATGCGTGCCTCCGTACCGTCCGTACCCCAAGAACACTCACGGAAAAGTCGTTTACTGAGGAGTGAGGTCTAAAGAAATCATAAATCTTTCCTGAAAGTGATTTAAAAAATGTCGTAAATGTGGTAAATGTCGGATTTAAAGTTTACGACATTTGGCGATGTCGTAGAATGTCGTAGAATGTCGGAAGCTTTCTCTTATCGCTAAATCCGACAAATCCGACATTTAGCGAGAGAAATAGCATTAAGCCTTTGAGGTCATTTTGTTAAATCTTTTAACCCGGAACACTTAAAGTCTCGCCAAATGTCGGATTTAGAATTTTCGACATTTGGCGATGTCGTAGAATGTCGTAGAATGTCGTAAGATGTCGTAAATATTTAAGCGATGTCGTAAATGTCGTAAATGTCGGAAGTTATGTCGTAAAAAGCTTACGACATTTACGACATTTACGACATTTACGACATGTGAATTTCGAAATCGTACTTTATCGTGAGTGTTACTGCGTTACAGCCACGGCTTGTGTTTTAAAAAAAGTAATTAATGATGAACATGAATTTATTTGTCAGGCAGGGCAAGCCTGCTCTTGACTCCAGCAAGACCATTGATAGTTGTAGTGATATGGCTGGGTGGACAAACCCATCCAAGCATGCATTCGGTACTGAAAACGATTCAAAGGAAGCTTGTTGACTGCTGAACGATTTGAATGTTTGTACGGTACCAGTACTAGAGCAAATGCAACCGCCCATTTCACTCTGCATCTACGCTCCGTTCGGAAACCGAGTCAACATTTGACAGAATATAGCCCAGGAGAAGAAGCATCTGTTCCTCGCTTTGGTTTGAACTTGCCTGCGTCGGACGTCTACTGGACATGCATGAAGCGACCAGGGCAGATACAGTGGCACTCTCAAATCTGCCACTTGCTTTAGTTCCTCCCACTTGGTCTTCATTGTCTCAAGGATCGGGTGGCCAGGAAGCGACCTGGGTAGCCACAGTGGCACTTCCGCACCTGCAAGTTGTTCAAGTTCCTCCATCCTGGTCTTCATGGTTTCAAGACTGGGTAGCCAGGAAGCGACCTGGGTAGCTACAGTGACACTCCCGCGGCCGCAAGTTGCTTCAGTTCCTCCATCCTGGTCTTCATCGTCTCAAGTAGGGCCTTGTCAGTCTTCAAGGTGGATTGATACAGGTCGTTTTCTTCAAAAGGATCGTTGTCGAGCCGAAAGAGCTGCTCGTAGTCGTAGTCAGGCCACAAGATGTACTTTGCGTTCTACCCAATGAAACCAGAGCGCAGGATGAGAGAACGTGTCACCAGGATTGAATTCAACTCACGCACTGTGGCCGTCTCAACGCTTACCTTTCGGACCAAAGCCAGACTAGCAGGGATGTCGTCCTTGTTGCCCGTGAACCATTCGTAGTAGAATTCGTCTCTCCATTGGAGCTCGTTTGGAATACTCGATCGGTAGAGTTGGGACATGTCTCTTCCCTGCATTACTGTTGGGACGGGTATTTTGGCCGCGCTGAGAATTGTGGGTGCAAGATCGATGCTCAGCGTGAAGTCATCATTGCGCTGCCCAACCTTTGTCTTGGGCATTCGAGGATCTTGAATGATCAAGGGCACCCTGATCGACTCTTCGTACGCGAACCCTGAGATTGTGTAACGTACAGGAGATCGATCGACGCACGATTCCAGCCATGATGCAGTGTGAGAACAAAAAGATTGGTGATTCCACGCATTCTGACTTCCGTGGTACTTACATTTCTCGGCCAACCCGTGTTCGCCTGCAAAAGGACGAGAATGGGGAAAGTCAGGAAGGGGTTTGCTACGTCCCGGGTGTGTACATGCATGTAGTATCGACTTTACACTTACCATGCATGTTGCCATTGTCCGTGGTGAATATCACCAACGTCTGGTTCGTTACGTTTTGCCTGTCGAGCTCTTCCAAGATTCGACCACATGTTTGATCCACTTCGGTTACCATTCGATACATGTTCTAAACATGAATAGATTGGTGAAATGAAACGAGTGAGGTATGAGGCCCTGTCTATCTAGCAATACTCTTGTGATGTAATCATTGTGTTTCCGTCCAACCAACCGTACCTTCATCATTTTCTGGAATAGAGTGGGTGTATTGTAGCGTCCTTTCCATCGTCCACGTCCAAAGTTTTTTTGATTGTCGAAAAAGGGGGGCAAGAGGTGAAAGTGTCTGTCCGTGGCCGTCTTTGGTTTGGGAACGTCCTCATCAAGATAGAGACCCATGCTCTTGTTTTGCGGTCGGTATCGTTCTCGGCTTCCATCTTCCGCATGAATGGCAAAGAATGACACCATCAAGGCAAAATGTTTGTCCCTTGGACGCTTTTCCAAGAACTCGAGTGCATCTTCTTCGTTCCATTGCGTAATGTGCTTGGTTTCGTTGGTCTCCTTGCGTGTAATGTAGTGTGTGCCGTGATAGTTTTTGAAGGTGTTGAACGTACGAATGGGTGGTTGAGTATGATGCCACTTGCCTACCATTCCCGTGTGGTATCCGTGTTGTTTCAATAGATCAAACAGAGTTTCGTTCCAGACTCCCTTGGCGTACATGTTCCGGTCTTCGGGCATGTAGGTTTTGTGTCGACTGGCGTATTGCCCCGTGTAAAGAGTGGCTCGACTGACCATACAAATGGACGTGGTGACGCAGTTGTGGGTGAACAGCATGCCTCGTTCTGCCAGTTTGTCGAGATTGGGGGTTTTGACGAAGGAATTTAGGGCTCCCAATGTTTTCAACGTCCAGTCGTCTCCGTACAAGAGCAATATATTGAGTCTGTCATTACCATCATCGTTGTTGTCTTTTGTCATTGTGGGTTGTTGCCTGTGTGTAGACCTTTGTCGCAAGCTCTTTTTCATGTGATCATAGGATTGGTATTCTTGAATTCCCTGTTTCTTCTTCCTCGCCTTGTTCAAAATACTGGTGATGTCGACACGCTCATTCTTTTCCACTGGGCGCTTGGTGGCCTTGGGGGTATGAGAGCGCAACGAGAAATCCAGTGCTGAATTCACATTTTTATTGGGGTCATTTATTGTTGATGTCCGTCTCTTTGACACATCCACGAGAGGTTGTATAATGGTTTTTATTGAGCGTCCTGGGGTATCTACAGGAGGTCGCTTTGGGGCATTCTCAAGCTTGTCAGTTTTTGGTGGGGTATCAGGTTGTAGCTTGTTGTTGTGTTTCTGTTGTTTTGGTTTTGGTTGCGTTTCCGATTGTCGCAAAGAGAAATCCATTGCTGAATTCACAAGTTTATAGGGGTCATTTATTGTTGATGGCCGTTTCTTTGACACATCCACGAGAGGTTGTACAATGGTTTTTATTGAACGTCCTGTGGTATCTATGGGAGGTCCTTGCGGGGCATTCACGAGCTTGTCGGTTTTTGGTTGCGTATTAGGTGGAAGCTTGTCGTTGTGCTTCCGTTGTTGTGGTTTTGGAGAGCCATCGTCTTGAGCCAAGTCGCACAACGGCGTTCCCAAGACTTGTCCTAGCTCTCGCTCCGTGGATGCATCATGAAAGACCGCGGAGTTGTTCAGGACGAAAAATAGGAGAGAGCAAACCACGACAACATTGGCCGTAATAAAGAGACATTGGATCTGTAAAAGGACGAAGAACAAAACATCAGGTGGTTCGTTCAGAGATAAGCAATCATGCATTCCAGACACAGAGAAGGGACTTACATTTTGTCTCGCCATGGTCAAACAAACAATCCTTCGACACACAGTCAAAAGGCTGACAAAGGGAAAAAAAAGAAAATGATCAAAAAAGTGGGCCCTGTGATTTTCTCACGGCTGAACATGTGAGAGTTTTCCGGATCTATTCGCTCCAAACCCGATGTTTAGATCTTTCCTACAGTGGTTTATTAGCCACCGGGGGAAACGAGCGCAGGCAATGGTTACTATGGACGGGATTAGAGTAGGTGGATTATCTAGCTAGTAGGGAAGCCAGCGAGGACCAGGCTTTTAAAAGCAAAGAAAAGTCCAAATTCTGGACTAGGTTCGGTGGGATCAGGGACAGAAAATTGAGGACCATACCCCAAATTGTTTGGTATCAATGATTGTCAGGGTACAGTCCTGAGAGTTGGGCAATTTAAGAAAACTGCAATTGATGAACAGGAGATAGCTACCAGTAGCCAGTACCTACTCGTAGTCTGACATCATGAAAGTTTTCAATGTGCCAGCCAAAACATGGCTGCTCGGCATCAGCTTCGTTCCTCCTTTTTACCCACTTCAAAAGCCATGCTTTCTCGGTAGAACTAGCATGATAGAGTATAGATAAATGGCGACTTGGAGCTATGTCATACAATCAATCAAAAACTCCTCCATACTGAGATCTGATACTGGCTGGCTCTTCGCACAGTGAATTTTGCAATGATAACGAGTACGGTACCGTTCTGTAGCTGTCTGTAGTCTTATTATCGAGGGCACTCAAGGGCACAATCGCAGGGTGCACCTCACCGGCCGGCCTTCCAATAAGTAAAATCTCCCAGACCGAACGCTCCCTCCACCCTTAACCTTAACGGGGAGCTCTGTCTGAGTCATGCATGCAATGGGTTTTTCGCCGTTGGGTTGCATGATTGGTTCAGTTTCCTTGTTGCATGGGTTCTTGGAGGCGAAGTGAGAGAAAACAAATAATACTAAGATGATGCCGATAGTCTGCACTGTTTACATGTAGCCACTTTCTTTGCCTTACCAGCAATTAGACCCACCATCGACACAGTAGTCTCAGAAACCCCCTTGCGGAGGTCGCGATCTTGCGAGAATCTAATCATCCAATCTAATCTATCCAAGATGTTTCTATCGAAAAGAAAATCAACAAGACGCCTGCCCAGAGTTCTTTCATTGCTGGCTGTGATGATACTCTCGCACTCGCAGGATGCTGCTGGTTACACCCCCTACGTCTTCAATTGTTTCGAGGAAGGCTTCGACAAATGCATCCATGGAACATGCAATGAGAATACCAAAAGGTCCGTTTTTTGATACCCCAACAGAGTTCTTGTTCCATCGCTTCCTCACATTTTCAGTATTTTGTCTGCAGATGTGAATGCGATGCTTTCTATGCCGGCGACGACTGCTCCACTCCCAGGTATGCTCCGTCTAATACTTGATTGGCTGGCTAGAAATCGCTTGGAATATTCCTATCTTACCCAGGGATCCCTCTTTCTGCCTTTTTTAATATTAGCTACCAATGTGCCGATGGCGTTACCTTTTGCTACAATGGAGGCATTTGTATTCCCGACAGTACGAACACATCAAAATACAACTGTGATTGCTTCAAGCATGAAGGAATTACCCTCTACAAAGGTGAGTTTGAGGCTGCCTGTTCTTGCGCTTTTGCTGCCTATTAGCTAATGCATGTACATGAACTACTGGACTATAATATATTTGCCATGAACAGGCGACTCTTGTGAAACTCCTACATATGTCAGTTGTGAAAGACACAGTCGGGGAGATTTCTCCTATTGCATCAATGGAGGAAGCTGTAGAGCCTATGTGACACAACAACAGGAACATGTCCCCTGCGATTGCTCTGGTGCTCAGCGGCGGGAAGGACAAGGAAACGAACAAGGAAACGCCATGTGGGACGAGCACTGCCAATTCCTTGGCTATATGCCCTTTCCGACAATGCAAGCAACGACTTTCAACAGTGGCCTTTCGGAGATTGGAATACTGGGCATTGTCATGATTGTCGGGGGTGTGATTGCGTTTGCAGCGGTGCTGGGGCTACAGATACGACGACAAAAGCAATCCTGGGATACACAAGAAGCTATACTTGTTGCCAGTCAACGCAACAATACTACAGAATCAACAGAAGAAGAAGAAGAAGAGGTGGTGAGTTTTGAGGAGGCCGACCTGGAAATGCCTCTTCCTGGTAGCATCCCCAAATTCACCCATGTGAAGGAAGGCGAAGAGAAACAAACGGACACCACTACTACTTCATCAACAACAATCAGCACCAACTATGGAATTCCAAAGGGTCAAGTCGGCCCCGAGCACACCATTACTTGAGGATTGTTTGTGTCATGGTGATGACGTTTGATGGAGGCGGCCTACGTGCACCGGACACGCATGGTATCCTATAGGTGGAATCATGGAGTCGCGTCAATGCTGAGATGTGGTTGTGGAACGAATCGAATCGAATCAATGAAACGATAACTTCCTTGCTTATGTTCAGGGTGGGGCAGGGTTGTGAATTGGATCGTTGACAGGGCCAAGAGCTGCCTGTTGGCTCAACGGGATTGCTTTCTGTGCCTTCGTTGTGCTAGTAGTTTGGACTCGACTCAGGAAAGAGCGTAATTGTTTTTGGAGCTGACGACACTGACGTTCAAAGGGGCCCGGGACGTCTGCGGGTGTCAGGGAAGAATAGATTTGTGAATCCTGAGGAGAAGTTTGACTAGATTGAATCCTGAGGAGAAGTTTGACCGCGTTGTCCTTCCCTCCCTCTATACGTTGGCATTCTAATATATATGTTCCTATTGAGCCAGTTGACTTGCTTCTAAAAAGCATTACATTATTGACAATGAAACCTACGGAGCGCTCTATGCTACCGGTAGCTAGGAGTGTTCTACTGTACAACCACAGATACTTTCTTTCATGCGGCAACGGCTCCTGCGTTGACGCTTTCTCTGGGAAAGGTTTTCTCGCGCCTCACTCCTCTGGGCTTTCTCCTTCGTTCACGGCGGCTGTTGCCACGGAAACTGTTTTGCCTCCTTGGTATTCTTGGTAGTGCCAACATGAGGTCATTCGAGCTTGTCTGGCGCAAAGGTTTCTTGGGTTCCGAATCCTTTAGGCTCTGCTCTTCGCAGGCATCGCAAATCTGCGAGTCATCATGTTGGTGACGCCGCCGGACATGGCACAACACAACATCATCGTCTTCGTCGTCGGACACGAGCGCCGTGCTGCTCACTTGACGGGTGGGAATATCCGGTCGATCGTCCACACTGGACTCATCCGATTCCCATCGCGAACTCGACCTTCGGGTTGGCCTGGTTCTGGACCAAGTGATGGATTGACCATCTGAGCTACGAAAGCTGTGGGACAGGCTGTTAATGGATGAGGACATGCTCATCATCGAAGAGGACATGGCATTGTCGGGGACGATGGATATCTCGCTCGTCGTTGCCTTGAGGTGCATGAGGAAAATCTCGCTAAGGCTACTCATGGTTGCTGCTGCTACGCGGTTTTTACTGCTCTGTTCTTTGCTTTTATGAGATCGGTTGCGAGAGTCAGTTGAGTTTGAGTGATGTTGTATTCCATGGGACGGCGGCCCAAGATCCCCAAAGAGAGCGGTCATGCAGGATAAGATCCGATTGAATATATTGAACCATTCGGCTTCCCCCTTGGACAGTGACAAAAATGATGTGCGTGCCTTGGTTTGCCCGTGATCTTGGATAGCTTCGTCTTTGGAGGTCTTTTTGCCTCCATCCATAGCATCACTCTAAAGTTCTCCTTCCCCTGTTTCCAAAGGGTCATTGAGCAATAGAACATTAGGGACTGCGAGTAAGCCAGAGATTTAACATCCAAGACATCAAACAATGGTACAAGAACAGTTACGGGCAGGGTTCGCTAACCAATCAATTATGTACTGGTTACTGGTTATTGGTTATTCAACCACTCAATTGGGGGTACTGGTTACTGGTTATTGGTTATTATTGGTTATATAACCACTCAAGCTAAGGTACTGGTTACTGGTTATTGGTTATTTGGCATTGGTTATAGGTTATTTTATAGGTTAGTAACCGGCAACCACTGGTTATATCAGTGGTTGAACCAAAGGAAATTGAACATGCGCGCAAGACTTGTGTGTTGTTTGCTCCCGTCCCATGTTCAATCCCAATTGCTACACCTTATGCATTGGCATCAATGAAGGCTGCATTAGCAGCATCTTCATTGGCGTAATGCTCCAACTCGTCCAGCATTTCCTGGGTGATATCTTCAGGCTCCTTGCCCTCCTCCTCTGCCCGGCTCAATTTCTTCACATGTTCTCTGAGAAGTCTCTTTTGCGGTTCTCGGCCACCCGCTTCCTGCAACGCTCACAAGGTGCGGTGTTGGCGGAGGAAGGCACGATTCTTGTAGGTGAGAACCTTCATCTGAAACGTGATGTCTGTTTGCTTGGAGTTGAGCTTTCCATCCATCCACGTGGCGCCACTGAAAGTTCTTTCCTGATCCCATTACTTTCGGGCAAGGCAAGGACGATGCATGCAATAGGATACAGCAGTGGGAATTCTTTTTGCCGGTGTCCTCCCACCATTCATAATGTCGAACTCTCGGCAATAAAGTCGACGTGTTTGATCCAATCTTCCTTCTTGTTGCCATTTTGAGGACTCGTCCTTATCCACGGGATTCGTGTCTGCCCTCTGAGGACAGATACATGTCGAACTTCTGTTCTTCATCCATTTGTTGATCGCTTGTTCCACCTTGTCAACATCCTCCGTCACTTCTTCCTCTACCACCACAGTCTCCGTTCTCTGTCGCTTTCTGCGGCGTTGCTCCAGCTTGGACAGGTGTTCTTCGGGTTCCTCCTCCTCTGTTGCTGCTGTTGCATCTCCTGGCTTTTTTACAAGTGGAGCCTTCTCTGACAGTAGTTGATCGCACATTGCCTCGATTGCTTCCTTGATTTGCTGTCTTGCCAAGGCCGTTATACCCTTGCAACTGTACTTGTACTCATCATCGGCGAACTCCTCTACATGTCGGCAAGCGTTTCCAAGTCGGGAAGAACAGTAGTTGTTGAGAAGGGGTTGACCATCATCGCCAAAAGACGGATTGCGTTGAAGCTACTTCTTGCGTCGGCTCCATACTCCATGAATTCATGTGCAACTCGATCGACCAACTGCACAGATGATTTTGCCATGGTCTTGTGTTTGTGAGGGACCCTTCTCATCCCAACTGTTGTCAGAGAGCTTGGAACAATGTACGTATTCCCCAACTTGGTTGGAGCTGGATCAAACGGAGTTCCATCAAAGGTTCGCCTGGGGAAATTTGCATCTCCATCCCACTTGTCGGTCGCGTTTGGATTCTCAAGAATTCTCGTCTCAGGAATCCACCAGAATTTGGAACGAAATAGAGACGGCATTTCTGTAAAGAAAATAGTAAGAGTACGGATGGAACCGAAGCGATCACTCTGAACAATAATAAGAAGGGTATACAGAGGATACTGGACGGAATAGTGCTGGGAGACAATGTAGAAGTTGTCATCGCTGAGATCCTTGTTGCTGACGTTCTTGTGTAGTAGATGCGAAGGTTCCATCTGGCAACAATCATATCCCCGTAGTGAAGAACAACTCCACCTATCTAGTATGGTTGGGAATACGGATCCTTTTTCCAACTCGACCTCATCCCTCATCAGCTGGAGGAATACCTTGTAGCGTCCCTTGGATTTCTTTTCCATCAAGTGCTTTGCACAAGCCTCGCTCATCTTTCGTACCACCTGTCCCGGCTCAAAAGAGTCAACAACCTTTTGTTGTCAGTCCTGACCCTCCGACCATTTGCATGGTCAAGACACAACTGCATCTGATGCATAGCACAAACACCGTTAACTCCAGTAAGTTTGCGACCAACAGAGAGGGCTACTGCGGTAGTGTCATTAACCGCCCGGTACAACATGCTTTTCTTGATACCCAAAGTAGATAGGACTTCTTCGATCTGTGCGACGGTTTGTGCGGCCTTCTTGTTTTCCACAATACAAAGTGCAACGGCAATTCTGAAGTACTGTTTCCGGACGGGAGAGTAGAAGTAGATAGATGCTCCCAAACTTCTTCTGGTTGGAATCCCAAACTATCATGACTTCTGATGAACTTTGAGGCTGCCCAAAGATTCGAAGTAGCGTCGGCTGCTCCGTCATACATTTCCACTCCAGCAGAACTCAAACAGGTTTCACTCGCTTGGGTTCGCAAGCTTCCTCCATGAGTCCGTATTGTTCACTCTTTCAGGGCCTCGGCGTTGGCAATGATTGAATGAATCATCCTAAGTATTCAGGACGGTTCGTGTGATCGTCACACGCTCAGGAAATGTTGTTGAAAGTGATGAACTCTCCTGTAAAATCTTGAACTGTTCGAGGACATTACCAAGTCCAGCCTGATCAGCCATGTTGTGCACCACATTGACAACACCTGGTGGAGACTTGAGTTGGCTTACCGGTGAGCCTCTAACAGAAGCCACATGAGACAAAGATGTAGCCGAGACGGCAGCAGCAGCAGCATTAGCGGCGGCTGGCCAGGCAAGAACGACTTGGTGCAACGGTCTTTGGAATAGCTTCTTCAGGAACTTTCATTCCCCATGTGTAGGCAGACCATAAGCTTGATGGCACGCGAAACTTCCTTGTGTTTAGCATTAACATGAGTAGACAGATTTCCAATACCATCGTATACAGCATGAACATACTTCCTGTTGTAGGACGGACTGAAGAGACACCTGTGGAGGGGAATGTCTTGCTCAACACAGGCGATGCACGCCATCAGTGGACGGAAATTATTGATATACTTCAGCAGCTTGACCTTTGCTGTCCGATCCAATCCTTCGAGAGTGTCCCAACCCTCAGGGCTAATGATCTCTATAACTCTGAAAAGCTGCCAAAAAGGTGACTTCTTCTTGCTGTTCTTGAAGTCATTCCTGATGTTGAAAGTAAAGAGAGACTTGGCTTCCAAGTAGGAATTGGAAAGCTGCTCTCTTTCGTCCAGGTGGTCTTGCGGGTCAACCTCCTCTTCTTCCTCATCTTCGTCGTCGTCATCTTCATCTTCATCTTCATCTTCCTCCTTTTCTTCCACAGGTGCTCGTGCGGCTGGGCGGCGTCGTCCGACTGCGGCTGGGCGGCGTCGTCCGACTGCGGGATCTCGTGCAACTGCGGGACCTCGTCTGACTGCGGGAGCTTTTGCAACTGCGGCTGCAGGCGCCACTGCGGCTGCAGCGGCTGCAGGCGCCACTGCGGCTGCAGGTGCCACTGGGACTGCTGGCGCAACTGCGGGTGCTGGGGCACCATAGATGTCTTCGTTGTCGGTACCATAACCACGTTCCACCTCCCCCCATGTTCGAGCTCACGATCTGCATGGTCAAAAGCTGTTGGTGAAAGTGTCCGTTCAATAAAATCCGCATTGTCTCGGTTTTCATCCGAGAAAACACTGCTAGTGCCGGTCCCTTGAGCCGCGAACTCATGATCCTCCGCCACACTTGGCATGGTTGAGGACGAAAGGTGGGGCGACGACGAAATAACCAGTCAAGTAACCAGTCAAGTAACCAGTCAAGTAACCAATAACCAGTCGAAATAACCTGTAAAGTAACCACTCGAATAACCGAAATGCGAGAGGTTCCCCTTTTGGGTTATTGGTTGGGAAATTTATGAGAGGAAATGGCAAAGGTCAAAAATCGAATAACCGATCAAGTAACCAGTCAAGTAACCAGTCAAATAACCAATAACCGTATACGATAACCGTTCGATCAACCAGTCAAAAAGCTCCGGTTACCGGTTATCGGTTATTCAACCAATCAAAATAAATATGACCGGTTACCGGTTATCGTATCGATGACCGGTTAATAACCGGAAATGACCGGTTAATAACCGGTAACCAATCGAAGCGGTTCGCGAACCCTGGTTACGGGTCTTCTTCTTCATTTTTTCAATAGGTGTAAAAAGCTACTCTCTCACTGAAACTTGAACTCTCGAAGTGCTTGATGCAAAATAGCTGGCAAAATACATGTAATGGCAAAGGTGAACCCATCAAGTTCAGCCTTCGCAAATGAAACTGGCAACCACTCGTTGGATGCCCTCGCACCAACTGATTTGATGAGTCTATGTGAATGTATTGGCTCTAGCTGGCTACTATCGGGGCTACCTCTCGTAGTAGAAGAAGCTGTGATCTGTTGCATGTGGAAGTACTGGGAGGTTCAACTCACCCTGGCCGCTCTACAGCCCAATGTTCCTTTCCTGTAGTACGGCACCAGAATCTGTTGAAAAGATTGAATCTCAACGCGGACTTGTTAACGGCGAGAAGAGTCCAAGAATCGCCCAGCACTCCAGCCAGCACTGGCTGGTCCACCCTCTTGAGCGAAGTCTAATCTGACTAGGCAGAATGTTTCTGACGAGCCGGCTACAACATGTACTGTAACATTCACCTCTACTAGAGCTAGCTATCGTAGCTAGTTTTGCTATCTAGCTAAATCTTGGTGTTAGACATCGTTCAGGAGCAGCGACGGTCATCTTCAACTTCATCTTGCATTCCCAGCATTGGCCGGTTACGAAACAGGGCTGCAACAGATAATTATTGAAGGACAGCAAAGACTGGGTAGACTAGCAACCTTCGCATTGGTCAAAGAAGCGTACCAGCTACATCAGACCACCAAGGCACTTGTATGATATTAGTAGACCTACCGGTACAGATGGTGCATGCACGCTTTTACACAACGACCAAGGATAAGGGCGAAGCGGACCAAAGATTGAAATAACAGCTCTGACGGCTAATTTGAGTGCCTCCAATGACCGCGACGGACCAAACAAGAGCGAAAGATCCCTTCGTCATCGATCTTCGACCTTTGTTTCCTGTTTCTTTCTTGCAGGATCTTGCTTCCAAAGTTATAGTCGAGTCCATTGAGCTCTACTCTCTTTCTCTTATTTTAAAATTAGCCATGCAACAGACAATGAACCGAAGGACAAGACAGCCTCAGGCAGAGCCAGAGCCAGCGCCAGTGTCGGCACCCAAGCGATCCCCACGACCACCCTCCAAACCCAAGCACAAACAGATAATCAGCACGAATGTCCTCTTTTTGATAGTGTTGGCCATTGTGGCGGGAGTCTACGGGTTGGTTGTCTTTGGCTTTTACGAGCACGAAGAATCTACGAGTAATAGCCAGAACAACAAAAATCAAGGTGGCAAACACAATCCTGCTATTGAAAGTAAACAAGAAGAACGACGCATGGCCAAGCAGGAAAATAATAACAACTTGCGAGGAGGACAACAAGCAGCAGTCGACACTACCCAGTATCCCTTCTGGAGAGACTTGGTGGTAAAATTGGGAACAATGTCGGCGGCCGATGCTCTGCGAGAACTCAAAGAAAAGGATCCCTTTGGTGTACGTGCCTTTGAACAAGCCTTGTTGGACCAGGAAACCAATCTAGGTCGGCTCCTGGAACACGATGAAATTGAAGCCCTCTTTCCCTGTCCATCGTCTCGCATCACATTGCCGGATCAACGCAATTTGCAAAAAGCACGAGATTTTCGAAACAACAAACCCGGGACCTTTTTATTCTTTCAACATTTGCGCAAAGCCGGAGGAACCCATTTCTGTTCCCTCGCTCAAGCCAATCTACCCAAAAACAACGTGGCACAATACTACTGCATGCCCGACATGAAATGGTCGGGGGGCAAAAAAGCCGGATATCTCCATGCGTGGGCGAATGACGAAATCACACGACGCATGGCAGAAGAACACAGTCGAATTGCCGGTAACGAATGGGACTGGTTCGATGTCGAACATCATTTTGACTTGCCGGCCGTATTTGCCACCAGTTTTCGATTACCACTCAATCGGGCATTGTCGCAGTTTCGATTTGAATGCGTCGAAGATCGAGGATGCAAAGGATTGGATGTGGAAACCTTTTGGACCCGACGAGAGGATCTCTACAATGTCTACACACAAACGTTTGCCGATACGCCCAAAACGTTTGGGAAACTCCGAAAAGCATACGAAGGGATCGTCCCCGATGCCGACCAGAGACGAGCCGAAATTATTGGCAGGGCGTTGGATACTGTGGCCAAATTCAATCTCGTCTTGAGCATGGAGTTCTTGGCATACGCGGGACCTCTGGTGGATAAGGTGTTGGGATTTCATGACACGTCCCCACTCACCAAACGGGTCCGACCACACATCAATCAAGCCAAGAGAAACGATGGACAAGAAGTCAACGCATTAGGAGCGGCAGGCATCAACAAAGCAAGTTGGGATCCCGAACAGTATTTGAGCCCGGCACAGTACAAGATAATGAGCGAGCATTTGGCCTTGGATTCAATCCTCACCGATGCCGCCAGGAGAATGTTCTTGGAACGGTTGATCTGCACTGATTTGGACGAATAAATAGGACTAGCAGAGTCATGGTCAAAAGTCAGTACAACGAGTGCAATCGGCAGCTGTTCGGGAAAGCCACATTGATCGACCTGATTCTGAGTGCACAAGGTTTTCGGATTGAGATTCCCGTGCTTAACTATATATGAGCGCTCGTGTCGGCCATTCCATTTAGGTTGCAAGGAAGGGAACTCAACGAATCACAAGAAAGTTGAAGGAGAAACTGTTGTAGTTGAACAACCAACGATGACGACCAGTGTGGAAGGATGGAAAGACACCTGTTTCCGAAGGCAGTCTGCTGCAGGACGCTTCCCTTCTGAAACCAAGGTCCGAAGGCAGTCTGCTGCAGGACGCTTCCCTTCTCAAACCCAGGCCAACCTTTATGATACTGGCGCCGTGGAAAACGTATTAGAGGCAAGAATATATAGATACACTATTGCCAATCTATCGTAGTGAGTTTCGCGTTGATCCTCTTGGTCAAGGCTCCTGAGTTGCTCTCGTGAGTGGATCATCTACCACTTGGTAGATCATACCATTTGGCGACATGCAATGCCACTGGGGGTTAAATACTCGCTATTGTTAGACTAATGCCAGTGTCATTGGTCTTAGGACTTGGAGAGCACAGACCAGTTTTGCTGTGTGTATTGGGGCATGGAGCACATGGCTTCATCCTCAGACTCGTCGATCACAGCCATGTTGGCTCTGCGGGACCTGCCAGTGGGTAGAAGCTTGTGATGACATCAAACCTGGTCGCAGCGTTGGTCAGTACCTCCTTGTATTTCTCGTACGAGTAAGACATGTGTGCACCATTGCTGCACATGTTCTCCTGCTCTCTGGCGCTGATGTCATTAAGAACCTTGATGTCAATGAACGCCTGCTGTAGGAAGAGTTTTTGAATACTATCACTGAGTTTGTCCTGCTCGCTGGTCTTGGAGTCGCTGTACCGTGTGAGGACCTCATCGTAGTTGATGATGAACTCCACTGCAGAGCCCTTGGTTGTTGAGTACTTGATCCTGGTGAGCCAGTTGAGGGTGTCTACAGACTCTATTGAACCTTCCACAGAGTTGTGTGCATCGTGGATCAGCTCATGCAGGATGTGGAAGCAATCACAGTCATGGAAATGATCCTTGACTACGACCTTCCCCTTGGTGGTCTTCACGATCTTCTGGAAAACGGCATAGAACCAATCGTTCATCCTTCGGAGCTCGTACTCCAAGTCCTTGTCTGGTGGCACGTAGCTGGCATCAAAGAGGTTGTAAAACCCCTGGGCTCTAGCTGTCGTGATGAAGACATTGTACCATTGGTCGAATGTCTTGTTGGTCTTCAGAACAGGGTACACATTGGCATCCTGTTTGGCGTCGAAGGGCTTGCGCCTTGGGCCATCTCCTCCTCCACCTCCTCCAGGATCTGAAGGGTCTTCCATTGCCATCAGGGTCTCCAGGAGGTCCTGGGGGCCATCATATCTGTTTGGCGGCCAGTAGTTGGCATACAACATTTTGTAGAATCCTTGAGCCCTGGTCGTGGTGATGACATCTCGGTTCTTTATGGCTGCCCTTCTCACGACCTTTCTACTGGTCACTGAAAGTGAGGATGCATTGTCAATTGGTGAGAACGTGAGTCAATTAGGCAAGTTTGACACCAACAAGACAACAGAGGAAACTGAGCTTACCTGTTCTCATTATTGCTCTCATTGCCAGTGCTGTGGCTGGTGGAGCCAATGGCCAGCTCAGTTGATTCGTGGAAGCAGTACAAGTAGAGGTTTGATTAGTGAGAATGACAGTTGCTGGACCTGGAATTGCTGCTGGAGCTGGAGGGCGCCAATCTGCTCTTCTCCTCAGCTCAGCCATGTAGACTGCAATCAAAATTTTATCTGAACTGCGCCAGACCTGATCATCACAAAAGCTAGCAATTGTCAAGTTATGCCTCTTGTGGGTGAACAAAGCAGGTTCCACATCAGCGGGTGCAAAGTCCAATGATTCAAGAATATTCTCCAGTCGATCATTGGCCAGTTTAGGGCTGCTCACAAGCCCAAAGACAGTTTGCTTTAAGTGCATAGTAGAATTTGGCTCCTGTTCCTTACAAGCTTGGCAGATCCTTCGAGTCCAGTCTATTTCAATCAGCACTAGCTAGAGTAGTAGAAGTACACAAACAAGCTGCCTGTAGCTAGCTATTCTCTGTTGATACTTAGCTAGCTAGAGAAACTTATTCTTGTTCTATGTTCTATCATAGAGGGATCTGGCTCCAGCTGCATCTCAGGCTTCGTTGCCACACTGCCCGAGCACAAAGCAAGCAACAACGTGCATTACGGATGGAAGTCTTCGATCGACCTCCCCTCTACCGTAGCCTGCACCCTACGGTGGTACCACCAAGTGCCTTCTGAGGTTGGCCCGAGCAGTCCCGGTGAGGGGTGTTTCGCCGAGACACAAAAGGCCTGGGCGGAAAAGATCCAAAGGAGCAGAAAAGGGAATAAAAACCATCTCACAATCCAAGAAGACCAAAAGAAAAGACAGCGCAACAGCAACCAAATAAAACTACCACAGAGAGCAAAAATGGTGAACTATATCAAATCAATGGATGAGTTCAACTCAATGTTGGAGACCTCCAAGTCAAAGGCGGTGATCATCGACTTTACAGCCACATGGTGAGTCGCATTCCAACGGCCAAAAAACAGATCGTGTTCCCACGTTCCCAACCGATCGCCCAAGCACCGAGATCCGAACCGACGACTGTCACTAAAAATCGTTTGCTCTGCTTTGTTTGTCCTTTCTTCCGAAATACAGGTGCCCACCTTGTAAAATGATCGGTGAGTCTGGCTAGCTAGATGTAGGAATATTGGAAAACTAAGGAGTCGAAAAGGATCCTAACCGTGATTCTTTTGTTGTTGTCAGGCCCCATCTTTGAGGGACTCGCCAAGGAGTACACAAGTATTGAATTCTTCAAGGTGGATGTTGATGACGCTGAGGATGTTGCCGCCAAGTGTGGAATCCAAGCCATGCCCACATTCCAAGTCTTCAAAGATGGATCCATGGTGGACGAAATGAAAGGAGCCAGTGAACCTGGCTTGAAGGCAATCCTTGAGAAGCACAAGTAAAGAGACAGATAGACAACAGAGAAGGAACATGGTTTGGGAATCTTGTTGCCAAGTGAATTTTTAAGTGTTGCCCTGGGCAAAAGAAGAGGATTATGCTTTACCCGACAATGTCAAAAATCCAATCTACAGAATCACTGAAGATTTGTTGGCGGTATGGTTTGGTGTAAAGGATAGAAACAACAATTTGCCCACAGAAATGCCAAAATTGGGTCTTTTCGTCGCACTGCGTTAAAATAAAATTGGGTCTTCTTTGGGTCTTTTTGTTGCATTGTGTTCTCTCCTCCAGCTTCCTTTGTGGTTGCTTGTGGTAGGTGGAAGGACGCTTGCCAATCCTATTCATTCGTTCCTCAGTCATTCCGACTGGCCATGTCGTATTCTGTGATGCCGTTGCGATGGATCAGGTAGACCATGGCGCCATAGCCACTCAAACAGTCTCGTTCCAGTGCACTCAAAAACGCATTGGCACAAACCTCCACCAATTCATCCGCTTCAAGATCGGGTTTCCACAACGCTTCGGCAGTGCCAAAAATGGAATCCGATGCTGCACCGGCACACACAAATGCCCGAGAGATGGATTTGGCCCCAATGCAATCCATGGAACACAAAAAGGGAGTGGCTCCATCCGGACATGTCTTTGTCGTCGTCGTCAACCCCACAATGAGAGGTTCTACATAGTACGGTGCTTGCCTTCGATTGTACAGAACATGACTGGTCAAGGAGGCCATGGCGCGGGGTGTAATGACGGGACGTTGCTGTCGATTCTCATTCATGAAACCCAGCCCTCGACCCAATTTCGAAGCCACTTGTTTTTCCAAACTATGCGACAAGGACTGCACATCTCCCTCCAAACCTGTGAACGCTACCATGAGTTCTGGACTTGGTACGTAGACATGCCGTGGTGCAATATTGACCATCTATGTATGTATTCCCGGCATATAGCGTAGAAGTTGGAAAACCAGGATGAGATTGGGAATAGATAAAAGTGCATCCAACAAGGAAACACAACCAGAAATTCCAAGAATCTCTTGTCCTGCGTATCAGGCAGGCAGCTACGGCATGTATTGTATTAACTTAGATACCCTGATACCGGTAGCATGACTGCCGACCACAGCAACGGACCTACCTGAGCTCCACTAGCAAATCGTTTATCCACAGCCAAGGCCACACAATCTTTCCCTGCCATGGCCAGTACCGATCCTCCATTCATGGTCAGTGGATTTTGATCTTGCTGCGATCGCACGGATCTCGTGCCAAAGGACAGAAAAATCAGGAGAGTCCATGCCAAAGGCCGTCTTTTGTTGGCTCTACTAGTAGACAACCGCATTTTGCTGGTACTCTCCTGAGCATTGAGAGCAGTGTCCGTGGTGAAATTCTTCGTCATCTTGCTACAATTCCGCCTCTTTGGGTATCCTTTGAAACTTTTCTAATGCAGACGAACGGCCGGGTGAACAGCAGATCACCATGGTCGTTTCCAAAAGAAACGGTCTTGGTTCACTGATTAGAGATAGGGTGATGGGAAAGTCCATGTTTCGTGGACGCTTTTGGATCTTCGAAGAACGACCGAAAAAGATCTGAAAGATCGAAACTGCATTCCACACGACGACCAGATCGTCCAAGTCGAGTGACAGTCCCATAAAAAGGCAATGGCTCCATCACCAACACAACATTGTGCTCCCTCTGTCCTCAAGACCCTAACAGTCTGTCTCATTCTCCAGTTGGTATCCTCTTTCAGCGGCAGCAGTATGAGTCAGGAACGTCCATTGGAAGAGCAGTCGGATCGACTGAGCCGATGGCACAATCGTTGGGACGAAAAGAGAATCGGTTGGCACCGAGAAGAAGTCAATCCTGGACTGATCAAGTATGGCACGGTGGACAAGGACTCTTGTCCAGCAGAGGGACTTCGTTGGTTTGTACCACTCTGTGGCAAGACGGTGGATATGGCCTATTTGGCAAGCCAAGAGACCACGGCAGAAGTGGTGGGTGTCGATGGCGTTTTAAAGGCGCTGGAATCATTTGTGGAGGATCATCCTGAACTGAAGATTGAGCAACAACCCCCAACCGGAAAGTTCGAGAAACTGACGGGAACGAAAATTACCCTATTGAAGGGTGACTTTTTTGCTCTCGATGTTGAGGCTACAGGGGGGCAGTTTGACACCGTTTTTGATCGGGCTTCCATGGTTGCCATTGATCCGTCATTGCGCGAGGATTATGTCAACGTTATTGGAAAGCTGCTCAAGCCTGGTGGCAAGATTATACTCGGCACTCTGGAACGACGAACGGGTGAAGAAGAAGCAGTAAAAAAGGGACCACCGTTTTCCATTTCCGAGGCAGAAGTGCGTCGTCTCTATGAAAAACTGGATTGGGTCGAGTCTATCACTCTTGTGGAAGAGATTGATGAGTTTGCAAGAACACCGGAAGACAAGATTCGTTACGAAGGTGTCACCAGCTTGTACGAGCTTTACTTCCTTATCCAGGCCAAGGCATAGCCGACACTTTCTTAATTAACAATGCTGAGTAGATGGCAATTTTTCTAGTTTGTCAGAACAAAAGGGCAAGTTTAGGAGCAAGGAGAGTAAGACGGCAACAAATAAATGGACAACCAATGTGGCCTCATTTTTGAAGTAGAATATAGGTTGATTGTCGGGGACACTGCAAATGGTTGCTAATTATGTACAGGCGACTTTCAATACATTTCTTCATTCTTATCCTTTCCTCTATGGAATGATCTAGCCACATAGTTACACCTTGCCGCTTTCAATTGGATGAATTCTTGTTTGACTGCAGTGAAAGTTTGATTAGTATGGGAGGGAGTCGAAGTCCCTGTGGTTGGGCTGCTTGGGTGTGGATTGGTGGCGAGGCCAGTGCCTGGCAGCATGTCAAGCACAACATCAAGCAGCCACGTCGCAAACGAATATCAGATCCCTTGACACATCATCCAGCCATTGCAATCAACAAGGAAGGAGAAACATGCAAGAAAAGGAAAACAGCTGCAGGTGTGACAACTGAAACTGGCCCATGGGAGCAATTTTCTGCCACATTCAGAACGTCAACAACCAAACCTTGATCAAGAGAGGACGGGCTTGATTTTACTTTTCTCCCTTTATTTTAAACGAGAAGGGTAGCCATGTTGGTTTCGAATGCAAATGTTAAGCCCTACAACCACACATCTTGGGTTCTGAATAGAACTCACCATGTCAATGAGGCCAAGCCGCTAGCTAGGCAAAGAGCAAACCCTCTTGGGAAAAGGAGCCGAGATTGAGATGGAGAAATAATGATGAGTTTCAGAGATGGCTTGCTACTCATCCCATCACCAACAAAGCTGACATTGACTTGTCATCAGAACACAGGAATGCTCTACTCTGAGTAAGTAACACATTTATCCCCGGCACAACAAAGCTTTGCCAGCTTTGCCAGCTTCACCGCCAGAAGCCGTTCATCAAATAAAATATTTTTATTTTATTATTTTACTCGTTGTATCGATCCTCTTTTCACAAACGGTCGTCGACGCGAGTGTCCTTCGACCTTTCCTTGTTGCTGCTGTCACTTCTTCTTTGAGCTTGCGTCTGTGTTTATCATCATCATGTCGACATTTGGATCATCAGGAACTGCTCCGGCTTCCTCAATCGCTCCGAACGACTGCAACGTCGCGCAGGCTGGAGACGATGGTAAGTGCAGTACATGTATCAGTACCGGCGCTTTGGTTGCTTGTGGACGCTGCTTCAGACGTACCGTACGGTACACACCCAATTTACTCATGGCATTGACTTTCTTTCTCTTTTCCTGTGGCAAGGTGTTTCCTCTTTGATTTGGAGTCCTACACAAAATATCCTGGCGTCGACAAACTGGGACTCTGGTATTCGAGTCTGGGAGGTGGCCGAGCAGAATGGTCAGGTCCAGGCAAACCCCAAAGCCAAAGCCAACCATGAGAACCAAGCTCCTGCTCTAGCATCTTGTTTCACGCCCGATGGCAGCAAAATAATTTCTGGAGGTTGCGACAAGGCAGTGCGTATGTGGCAACTGGGTCAAAACTTGCCAGCCAACGGTTCGCCACAGCAAATTGGAGTTCATGACGCTCCTGTCAGTTGTTTGGGTTATCTGCCGTCAACCAACATTGTGGTGAGCGGCGGCTGGGATCGGAAATTGAAGTTCTGGGATATGCGCTCTCCAAATCCTGTAGGAGCATTGGACATGCCAGAACGAGTCTATGATCTTGATGTGCGAGGAAATCTCATGGTGGTTGCCACAGCTGGTCGACAAATTGTGTCCTATGATGTGTCCGGGGAACCACGTGAATACTCGCGGAAAGAATCTCCTCTCAAGTATCAATCGCGATGCATTTCATGCTTCACTGACACCACTGGATTTGCTGTGGGCAGCATTGAGGGCCGTGTGGGCATTCATTATCTCCAGAAAGTGGCGGGAAAGGACAGCTTTGCCTTCAAATGCCATCGTCAGGAAAGCCAAGTGTACAGCGTCAATGCAATCTGCTTTCACAGCCACTTTGGAACATTTGCTACTGTGGGATCTGATGGTGTCGTGAACTTTTGGGATAAGGACAACAAACAGAGGTGGGTTGACGAAGAAACATTCATCACAAAGACGACAATTCAATTTTTTTTGCCGATCAAAGGGACACTCAACATTTTGTGTTATTCGATTCATTCGTTCTATTTTTGTTACAGATTGAAGGGTTTCAACGCAATCCAGCGTCCAATTCCTTGTGCCAACTTCAATGCTCAAGGAAACTTGTTTGCCTATGCCAGTAGCTACGATTGGAGTAAAGGGAGCCAGTCCCATGTGCCGGGCAGCCCAAATGGTAGGATTTCCTCTTGCGGTGAAATGCTCATTCCAACCTGCAACCGTACCAATATGTTTCTCACCACTGCTCTTGTTGGTGCCGCCTTTGCCACTGCACTGTTCTTTGCAACTTTTGGAAGAAATCTTCGTTCATTACACTGCAGAAGAAGAGATCAAACCGAAGGGAAAGAAATCAGGTGGTACTCGCCGCTAGGCTGTTTTCAATCTGCTGCATCACTGTTTCTACAGTACCAGGGCTGAAGGCCTGGTCAGAGTAGTTTTGAATGTAATACAAAGAGATCTTCTTTGGCTCATACACAAACCATGACAGAAGAGAGGACATCTGCACAACACAACATCACAAGAAACAAGGAGCTACCGGTAGCACATGGCAGCGCCGGTAGTTGTTTGTTTGTAGTTGTAGATGAAACATAAACAATATGCTGCATGCATCAACAAGGCTTCATGTAATGCTTCTGTGTTGTAGGACAAGCCATGACGATTCCGCATACTTCGTACCGGTACGGTACCAGTGAAGACGGCTCCTGCTGCTGAGTAACTTCACTGGTAGCAGCCAAGTCGTCACTGGTATGCATCAGGAGCTCGAGGTCCAAAGTTTATGAACCAGACATGGCCGAAGAGTCCAAGGGTTTGTGTGGTACCGGTATCGTAGCTCGATAGACTTGACCCCACAATAAAACTGGGTGTCCCCTGAAGATGGCACGATTGCCTATAACGACTGTGCCTGGTACAGTGAAAACGCGAGAGTATACTACTAGTAGCTATATACTGACCAGCTAGTAGCATGGCCAACTAGATTCTAAACTCAACCGAGCTAACGCTGGGCACTGATGTGTTTCTGCATTGCCGTCACCTTCCTCCGCACTGGGTTTTGCTTTCCTTTTTGGACCTACTCAAAATGAACACCCTTGCCCTTAATTAGTTAAGAAACACAACCTGAGGATACTTGGTGGCCTGGGGTGCCTTGTGGGCCATAGAGATGCATGCTCAATGCCAACCCCATATGCACCAGCCTCCTTAGAACATATATCTTCTATGCCAAGTTAGAGGGGTATCCGATGGGATGGAGCAACACCCCTGTGAGGGTGGGCTTTGTTTGTCACGGTGAAAGAAACGGCACCGGTATCCCCTGCTTCAGGTGCCGCAATACATCAGTATCGAGCAGCAACGGGAGCACAAATAATACAAACACGTAAGCTGATATAAACGAGATATTCTAACTTTAGAAATACGTGTAGTGCTACACCATAGCCACAAAGCAAAGCAACGCATGGAGGTGGTCGGCAGCCTTCTGTCGGCTGCGGTTGGTACGTGCAAGACATGTGTGGAATGATTGACTCTGCATAGGCCGAATTCTCGATCTTTGACTCTCACTCTTCCAGTAGCTCTGGAAATTGGACCAGCTTTTGCAGGTCCTCTGCAAAGGCACGGCACTTAGCAATGTCTAGCAATGAAGCTGTGTTGATGGTCACAGAAAGCGATAGGACTGGTCTCGGGGGTGACGTTCGCAGAGGACTTCCCACGGACGCCCTTTGGAGGCGAATCCCACCCACCATGACCACAACGTCCAAGTCATCAGGTAGTGTCCCTATAGTCAAGTCAATACTGCCTGCGTCATTGCTCCTGCTTTTGCTTCCCTTGTTCTCATCGTCTGTATCGGATTCTGTTAGCACTACCAGGCACCGACCATGCTTTGGCTCTGCGGCTGATCCAAGACTGCATACCCATTTCAGCGCCCATGGCATCCAATCAAACGTCTGAAAATCGTTTTGCAATTGCGCTTCTTCAGATGCGAGGGCATCGGCGACATCTTGGGCTTTGTCGTACTGAAAGTCGGTCAATGCTTGAACATGCCCAGTTTTCGTTGACACTGAAAGATCCAAGACAGAGCTTGGATATCGATACAGTCCTTGAATCAACAGATACGGAAGGTTGACTCTCCTAACCTTCCAGCAGTCTGCATGTTGTCTCATGGCCTTTGCCAGTGCAATTGCCACAATATGTACCACTGATACTTCTGCGGCGGATTGTTCCTGATTGGAAGCCTCAGCGACCTCCTTCTTTTCCTCTTTTTTCATGCTGACAAATCGCAACACACCCTTGAGGTCAACCGATACCTGACAAGTGACGGGGCCTCCTTGGTGAAACTGCAATTGTCGTGACTTGTCCGAGGGCGCCGCGGGTCCCAAAGATCTTAACACCACGTATCGAATCGCCAAGAAAACAGAGCAGCAAAAGATAAGCGCAGGATGCAAAAACCCAAATTCAAAGATACCCGAAGAGATGATCAGCCAAGATGATGACAAACAGCGGTGAAGCATTAGTGGCATGAGAAGAATCAGGGCGGATTGTAGGATGGATATCTCGGTTCCCGCAACGAAAGCCTCGGATTCCCCTGGTGGAGTCTCCGTAGGGGAGGCTTGTGTTGTTGTCGTCTGGTCAAAGCTCAATCTTCGACGCGCGCTGGATACCAGGGCTGAGTCCTCTTTTTGGACAATGGCTTCCACCACATCTCTGTCGACTTCTTCGTTCGTCATGGGACGTCCCTCTGAATTGGCCAATAGGCGATCCTCTGGTGTTGGCTCTACAAACTTCAAATGATCTGTGATGACTCCTGGAAGTCCAGCCTGCTGCATTAGCACCGTTGTAGCCAAGTTTTGCGGGATTTGTCCCCCCAGGTCATAGCTCAATATTCGCGTGAGATTGCACTGGGCCTCGCCATTATTTTTTGTCACTAACCGCAACAGATAGAAGGAAGCATGCAGTGTCGCCCGTACATTGGAGGAACTTGGTTCTTTCAGGGCGTTGGCTTCTGGGCAGGAAAAGGCCATGATAGCAATAGCTTCTTCCCGCCGTGTGCCTTGATTGTTGTCGTCGTTGTCGTCGTCAGCACTGTCGTTCGCATCTCCAGTGGCAATCAGTCGATGCAAAACTTGCCAATGAACAGCCACAGCGAAATCTCTTGCGCTTAATGGCCAGACAGCTACAAGCGGGCAGAATGTTGTGCGGCAGAAAAAGGATGAACCATCAAATATAGTAAAGACAACGAAGAACACACAGCCTAGCCAAGCACCGTACATGTAAACACAACAATCAAATCAGATCAGATCGGATCAAATAAACAATACATACCTCTGTAAGAATAGTAATCCAAAAAGGTAAAATGGTTCAGCACCTCCAGTCGCTCTGAGACGGACACGCCTCCTTCATATTTTTGCCGCCGTGCACTATCCAGTAGTAGATTGAGAATTTGCTTGGGATGATGGGGTATCGTGGCGGTGCATTTCATCATGATTCGACCGTGCAAATCTTGTCGTTGATAGGCCGACATTCCATTGCGATCCTGAAAGATGGGTGTCCAATTGCGACTTGCCATGTCCACTAATTCCAGGTGGCTTTCCAAGGATTGCTCCAATTTGTTAGCAAGTGAAGCCGGGACATTATCAAAGAGCGTTTCGGCAGGACTTTGTGACGTCCAAGAGCCCAGTGGTTGGGTGGTGGTCCCATTACTACTACCGTTGTTTGCGGCTCGATTGCCGTTGCATGCGGCGGTCAAGGCAGCCACCCAGGCAGCTCGTGCTTCTTCGGTGCGGGCTGCCAAATGACATTCATTTTCCTTGGCTTGGGGAGGAGCAATAGTCAAGGCAAATAGTCCTTCCTCGGGAATGCTGAGATTGTCATTGGCAGCTACCGTACAGCCTAGCAGAATCATGGTGCCCCGTGGAATGACATCGTAGTCCACTGGATTTTCCGACACGGATGCAATGTCTGTCGTAAGTTCTGATACGCCGGAATGCATCGAATTGTTATTGTTGACAGGAGGACCATTGGTTGCGTTTTGTCTTGCAGTTGCAGCTGCTTGTCCATTGGTGGTATTGTTGTTGGTTGTGGTCGAATTATTATTGGCAGTGGATGCTGCAGTGGCGCTTCGTTTTCGCAGAGGAGTGGAAATAGTGGATGCTCCTCCCGCATCTTGCCGTGAGAGCAAATAGTAAGTCAACACGGCCTCTTCTGGCTGCAATACAAACCATCGAGGACGCCATTTGTTCTTGAAAACATCTCTTCGCTTCCAGAGTACACCCTGAAAGGGCATTGCTTCATTGGCCCCTGCTGCTGGTTGTTGTTGTGGCTGTTGCCCTCGTGCCGGCGGTTGCGTGTCTTGTCGCTCTTCCATGATGGGGGAATTATGAATATTATTGTTGTGGTTCCTTTGCTCTTCTTCTTCTTCCACTACTGGCTCCAAATGCCAATACTGCTGTCGATCCGTTGAGGGGTCACTGCTGTCACCTCGATGAGTATCCTCCTCCAATAAGCTTGGAAAATAATCAAACCGTTGTGCCGCTGGCAGACGTCGACGACGATCAAATGGCAGCGGCAAACACCAACGTGGTCCACAGACTTGTCGTGGGGGACTCGCAGTGAATCGTTGTTCTTCTTCGCCTTCGTCGCTGCCGTCGTCTGGCGAGAGACTTGTGTCTCGAATGTGTGGGACGGAAATGGTGCTCTTCTTTTCCCTCAATATTTGTGTTGTTGGCACAGTAAAAAGGCAACAGGCTCGCACAACACAAACAGCAACAGAGAGAATGTTCAGGAGCTACGAATGAACCATTGGAGGTATCGGTATTAGTATGGTCCTGGATCTTGTTTTCCTTGTCAGCAATCAAAGCTCGATCGAATCGAGGGCTTCGTGAATTTTTAAAAGTGAAAGAATTGGCCACTCGGAATGAAATGGTCGAAAGTGATCGATGGCCGAACTAGCCGATTAGTCAAGTCGAATAAATGATCGATTGTCGAAACAACATTACTTTCGTATAGCTGCGTTTGGACTCCTTCTTATGGTTAGCATACCTTGCTTGCTAGCTAGCTAGACCCTGCAAGTACTCAAAGCCAACAGCAGTACGATATGAGCCTACCATAGCAAGCTACTTGATTGTCATCCAGCTGATTAGGAAGCTTTGCTGCTAAAATATTGCTACACCATCCACAAGAATTCTTGCAAACAGTGGGATTTTCCTACTGGTAAGGATCTGACCTTGCTGGTTCCACCATGAACTCATTTTCCAAATGGAAACAGATGCTCTTTGGGCTTGGGACAAGTCCCAAATTGGCTGATGGATGGCACAAGAATGTTATTGAATCCATTGACTTTGCACCAACTGATTTGGAACCTAATGTATTCTTCCACAAAAAGCACAACCTGACAATCTCGAGCTACAGTGATGATCAGGTCTGGCACGGTGCCGATGGAACTTTGATTCCAGACAATCTAGCCAAGTTGAGGAGAGCCAAAGCTTACCCTACAGATCCACTTGTGGCTCCAGCAACAGCGATTGTCACGGATGAAGCCCCTACTCATAATATTGCTGACCCAGCTTCAACGAATCATCTGAGCTGGCCATTGGCTCTGCTATCAACAGAGAAAGGGGTTTTCATAGTAGGGAAGTTACTTGGGGTAGGAGCTATTGTGAGAACAGGTCAGATTTTTTCCTTGGTAGTTTTGTTGTTGTGTGAACTGCCGAATCCCCTCACTCTGCTCTCTGTTGTCGGTTCATCGTCACTTTCTCCTTCCCAGCAAGCTTCAAGGCAGATCATGATCTCCTTGGCGATCTTGGTGGATTTCCTGACTGCGAGAATGGTCCACTGCTGAACTACCTTGATGAACGTGACAAAACCATGATCATTGCGGTCATTCATGGTAGCCACCATGTCTCTCAATCAGCCAATGCTGTCGAGCAGTAAGGTCGGAAATGTGTTGTCATTTGCACGATCCCAGTCATCATATAGTCCTTCCAAGGTTTTGCAGGCTTCTCGGACATACCGTATGAGATTGGCCACTTAGTAAAGAGCCCAAATTTGCCCAGCACCCAGTCAGTCTCTCAAGATGTCTGTCTTCACCTATACTCGAGGGTGGGACAACTGAAAAATTGCTACCAGTGTACAACACGGAGAGTGCTCCGGAGACATTCGGAAGCCCTATACGGAGGTCATCACGAAGCAGGCAAGCAATCATTACCAGCAGGGGGGTCTTCAAACCGGTTGTGAACACTGCTCCAACAAGGTTGACAAGGGGAAATCAGCTGCTGTTGGCGGCAAGAAGCTAATTCTTGACCCCGGTCTTCCAGCCTGTTTTTTGGAGAGGAACCTCTCTGAATACGTTAGTGGTTTCATTGAGATTCATGGATAAACAGATGTCCTTCATGTGTGAGGACACAACATGCTCCGGGAGCCATAGTGACACTTTTTGTGCAAGCCATTGTCCATTCTCACTAGAAGCTGATCCTACCGGTGCCCTATCAATGAAAGTTTTCGTGTTCTGGGTTGACTAGCTAGTCTACCAGTAGGCCACAACTCATAACTATACATGTCTAGCTAGATAGCTAGATACTGCGGTAGCAACCAATGGATCCCTGTAACACGCTACATTCTACTGCTAATCCTCCCCGTGGGCGAGCACCGGGTGCCATCAGGCAAGGGTCTCGCTTCGCGGCTCATTCCTTTCGTGACCAAAGCTGTTTGGCATTGTTGCGTGGCCACCGGGTGCCCTGTGAGCCTTAAGATTGTTGTTGTTCCCACTACCACCATTCTCATGATTCGGGTTCAAGGATTGCAGCACTCGGCCACCACCAAGCCCGCCACCAACCCGTTTCAGAATGGTTTCTTCGTTTGGAGTTCTGCTTAACTGATCGCTGTAAGGAATATGGACTCGCTCCGGTGCAGCTTCGACTGGTTCGAACGCAGCGAGATCAGTCTTGACAAAGGTTTCCGACGTGGATGCCGCCTTTGTTGACCCTTCGCCGGAGCGACTGATGCTGCCACTGGCAAACTCAGCATGCTCGTCACTGAAGGACAGGAAACTATCCTTCGTCTCGGCAATATCCTTGCGTCGTTCCTCGATGGTTGTTGAAGAAAAGTCGGTCTCAGCAGCTTCCATACCCTGCTGCAGCTTTTCCGCCATTCTGCAAGCAACGGACGATTTCACCTTGATTCGCGTCATTCCCAAGTCAATGCACTTTTCTAATCCCGAGAACTCTTGGGCCATGCTGGACATGGCTGCACTTCTAGGCTCCTCTATTGTTTCCAGTGCAGATGACATGGTCGGCAAGACATCATCGTTCGTAAACGTAACAATTGCCGTTCCAGCGTTTGTCAGGGTGGACATGTCGTCCGAGGTTGCGTTGAAGACATTGGTTGTGATGAATTCGGAACAGTCTTTGCCGCCAGCACTGAGTCGTTCGCAAAGATCCAAAGCTTTTGCTTCCAAGTCCTCCGACTCCTTCAAATGGTTCACGGACTGGGCCGAAAAGTCATCCACATTCGACTGATGCGCCGCAACAGCCTCCTCGATATCTGCAAATACAGACTTGGTCTCGCCCAAGTGTGCAATGACGCTAGTGTCCGTCTGTTTGGCAGCCTCGGCTTCTTTCTGGAGTGACGATGTGAGAGCACCAGCTTCCACAAACGTTTCCAAAGTGGACGTAGTGATGTTCGAATGATTCTCCATCAAGTAGAAGTTGTTTTCCAAAAACGCCGTGTGGCCCTTCTTGACTTCTTCCATTACCTCGAGCACTTTCTTTGACACAAGCGACTCGACATCCTTCATTAGATTTGGCACAAACACCGAAAGGAGGTCCGATTGTTGCTTGTGACATTCTTCTGCTTTGCCCTGCGTCTTGAGCAAGAGTTCTTTCTGGGCTTCATGCTTTGCCGTGCTGGCAGTTTGGCTGTTTTCGAGCAAACTCTCTTGGCTCTTGAGTTGCTGTTCTATGTTAGCGTGGCGCTGCATTTCCGTGGCCATCATTTGTGACGTCTCCTCCACTGCACCCCGCTGAGTTGTCGACTGTCTCAGGATAACTTCCCCGCTGTCAATCATTGACTGTTTCCAGAGCTCAACAGTGTTCCTAGTTGCATCGCGAATTGTTTTCCTCTCCTCCATCGCAGTGTGCATCACAGCATTGCTCGAAAAGACCAGCTCCTCCACCTTTTGTTTGGATTTGGCAACGTTGCTCTCCAGTGCCGCCAAGGCATCGGATGAGCAAGATAGATGTTGTTTCTCTAGCTCTGTCAGCTTGTTGCCAAAATCTCCGATTGTTCCCCTCGTTGACTTGAGTTGCTCTACCAACGTCTGCTCGCTTTGCTGCAGAATCGATCGGGCGTTTCCAATCCTGGTGACTGTATCTGTTGCGCAAGAGGTGGCACTTGGAACGATTCCATCGTCTTCGTTGATGGTTGCTTTGAGGCTTGTCACTGCACTTTCCACGTTGGCGACAGCAGTCTGTAGAACTTCTTTTGCCTTTTCCAAAAAGATCAAGTCTTTGGATGCGGCCGTGGTTGCGAGTTCGGTAGTTTGCACATGATGACTGATTTCTTGCTGTGCCAGTGCATCCAACGCCTCCTTGACATCCGCCAAAAGCGCCGCCATGGAAAAATTGAATTGTTTTGCCGCTTGTCTCCTTGTCGCGTCCGCCTCCAGACTCGTTACTAACAGTGTGTGCAATTGATCGCCATCTGCAACAGATTCCTTCAACGCCTCGATCAACGCCAGTGCTTCCCTTGTTAAACTGTCTTCTGTCTTTTGTGTCGCCTCGAGAACAAGGGTAGTTTTGTCTAGTAAGGTCCTCGTTTCCTTCAATTGTTGTTCTGTTTCTTCCAGCCTTCCTTCTGCTTCAGCTAATTGTCCTTCCAAGGTCGACGCTCTTTGAGTCATCATGATGAGTTTATCTTCGATTTTTGTCTTTTCTGCCTCGGCAGTTTCGGCTCGTTCTACGAATTCTTGTTGTTGCATGTGTTTTCTTGCCTGAAATATATATGTGAAAATGAACCATCAATCTGTGAGAAAGTGTTTGTCTGGAGGCTACTGAACATTCGTGTCGAAGAACCAACAACGTTACGGTACTCACCAACGCTGCCTTGGCTTCTTCCACTTGGCACTTCATGTACTCCAATCGCACCTCCATTTCTTTCCATTGCTCTATACTCTGAGCACCAGACGACCCAGCAGAATCCATCCCGGAGAGCATGGACGATGCCTTGGTAGCTTCCGACAAGTAGGATGCACTGACTGGTTTGTTGATGATTCCATGCGCCGCTTGGGCATAGTTGAGTGTTGAAACGGATTCTTCAATGGCCGTCACGGACGGAGACAGCGTGGCAAAGATGACAGTTTTGGAATTCCCACCGAGCGCCTGTTGCAGAATGCGTGTGAGTTTGCTGTCGCGATAGGGGATGCGAACATTGCCCGGTTTGCTTTTGGAGCTTTGTTCTTTCAACAGTTTGACAACACGACCTAGTGTTAAGAGGGAGCGATTAATGTTCATTCGTTCCCGTTCTCGTGCAGCTTGTTGACTTCCTTTATCATCCATGTCAGCTGTCTTGGCGCATTCGGATCCGGCCAAGTCGACCATGTGCAATTTGCCTCGGGTTTCAAACAGTGCTCCCTGTAATTGAAGATGAAACCAAGATGAGTCCGAATACAAATCAGTCAATATCAAAATGAGGACACAGATGATCTACAAAACAGAAGTCATGATCGACAGTCTGTATTCTGTTTCGTTGGGTTTCCCACTTACATCTTCCAATCGTCTTTTGGCTTCGACTCTCAAAGTGAAGATACAGTGAGATCTCGATGACTGTTTGTTCATGTTGGTCTCTCCTACTCTTCGTTGTTGTTGTGCCTTTTCCATCAAACTCAAGAGATCGGCCGATGTAGCAACTTCTTTTTCCGACAACCCTCGGCAAAAGGGACCATGCTTTCCTTCCATAATCTCCAACTTTTGCTGCACTCCACTGCTGCTATTGTTAGAGGCGTTTCGTCGGGGTGTTCGATTGCCAGCACCACTACTACTACTACTGGCACTATGGGGTGTGCTCTCGGTCAACAAATCGCACAATTCCTCATTGTAAATTTCGAGGTAACTGCAAAAGACCTGATACGACACGTAGTTGAGATTGTCATTGTTCAATTCATTGAAAATGGCTTCGGCAGCGCGGGGAATGACACCGTAATTATCCGGATGATCCAACGACCCTTCCATGGTGTGCGTTTTCCCAGTGCCGGTTTGTCCGTAGGCAAAGACGGTGGATTCAAAACCCTTGAGGACATCTTTAATGACCGGCTTGAGGGTAGTCTCAAACACTTCTTCTTGAGTGGAAAAGGCAGTAAAGACATTATCGAAAGCGAATTGCGAGCGTTTCTGGGAAGAGCCAGTTCCTCTGATGACGGACACCGTCTTGTCATTGGTCGATGCCGATACCACAGGCAACGTCGATGCCTTTAATTCGCGTTCATTCAAAGGTCGGAGGCGGACCACCACTTGGACAGCACCAGTAGAAGACATGCTTTTCGTGGGGAGGGGTGCGGAAGGAAGGTAAACTTGAAGAGGAGGCGGAAGACGATGAGTTCTTGGAACGGAGGCAGACTCTTCTTTCAAGGATGACTATATTATTGTTGGTCCTTTGGGCTTTCCCACTCGATCTACTCCGATATCAGGTCTTGTGAATTGTGAATGGGCTGTTGCTTTGCGTTTTTGTGGAGCCAACGGACGTGTTCAAATTGAAGCCAGCTGAAATGGATAAAGGTGTGACCTTTTTACAGCAGGTCGAAGATTCAAAGCCAAATCCTTTACACATAAAACTCATCTACTAGTAGTGCCGTACGGTACATTACGGTAGTACCAGGTACCAGGTACCATGGTGGCTGTGAACCGCAGCCGTCACTGGAAGCAGCACCACAAAGTACCATGGTACCGCTACTGTACCAGGTCTATCAACGTGTACAAAACAACTACAGTCCTTCATGTAAATCATGATCAGATGAAGCAAGTAATGCAAAGAAGAAGTCTACTGCGATACAAAGGTTTCTTGAGCTGCTATAGCTAGACAGCAAGCCTACAAGGGGAACATCCATCCCATTCCATCAAACTACCAGATCGAGCCTCCTGGGGCTGAGCTGCCGCCGCCAAGGCCGGAAGCACCCCACGTACCAGCACCACCCAAGCCACTTGGAAGCACAGACTCGCCAGGGACGCTCTCCGATCGAGGTCCAAGAGTAGAACCAGTCGAACCGCCACTAGACAAGGACAGAGATGGAAGCCCTGCAAGCGGGATGCCCGCCAGCGCGTTGGTCGAACTTCCAGGACCACTCGTGTTGATGGCGCCCCAAATGGAGGCACCACCACCGCTCGCGCCACCCGAATTGTCAAAGCTGGAAGACGCGAGACCAGACGAAATTGTCTCCAAAATGGCAGGAGTCCTGGTGGAATCCTTGTCGAGACCAAGGCCAACAGGAAGCTGTGGCTCGTCCACGGTAGTAATGCCCGTCACGGAGGATGCCGCGCTGGGTGGTACGGGAGACAAATGCTCTGTCGAGGGTGGTACACTGGGAAGACGATCCAGGGAACCGAGATGACTTGGCGCAGGACCTCCCAAAAGCGACGAACCGAACGTGTTGACACCTCCAAGAAGACCGCTAGTAGATGGCTGTGACTTATCTTGGCCTGGACCCATGTCGGCTCCCGTGAACACTGGTAGACGAGAAGTGGTGGGCGACTCGGCAGTTGTGGGCAATGATGTTGGGTGACGTAGGGTTGTTGCGTTGCGACTAGAGGGCCTGCTCGTAGTGAAGTGTGTGGGAACAAACTCTCGAGCTGTAGCACGCATCTCACCTAACGGGTTCTCTTCAACCTCAAAGGATGCTGCAGAAGCCGTTTCCTCGACTGGTGGTGGCAGCGTCGACGGTGTAGGCGCAGGGCGAAAGCCGGGAGGGATATTAGCGCTGAACGATTGAGGAGCGGGTATTCGACCACTGCCATACGACGACACCGTAGAGTCATCTGCAATCGACGGATACTGCGACGACACATCGGTGTTGTACATTGGGGCATGGTTGCTCGGTGGCTCCCAGCTCTGCGGAGGTGGCATTTTTGGCATGCCAGTCGGAGGCTGAGGAGGTGGAGGAGCCATCGGATTGTAGCCGGCTGGTGCGTATGCCTGGGGATGGACCCTTCCGTGAGCGTGGGCTGCTGCCTTTTGCGATTCGACCAATTTGCTAGCGGCAGCCATAATGTTGCCAGCTGTGCCCTGTGGGTTGAGATGGGGATGGCCGTGGCCATGAACGTCGTACGCCGCTGCATGAAGAGGCTGCGGTGGCACTCCATAGTGCCCCGGGGGAGGCTGTGGTGGCATGGACATTGGCGGTGGTCCGCGCACATGAGCAGGGGGGTGACCCATCATGTTCGGAGCCGCTGCGGCAGCCACACCTCCTGGGAAGAAGGCAGATGCGGGTGCCAGAACCTGCTGTGCTGCTGCCACAGCCTGATGTTGTTGCGCCTTCTGCTGAGCCTGTTGTTGTGCCGCCTGAGCTTGCTGTGCTTGTTGCTGAGCTTGCTGATGTTTCTGCTGCAGTTGTTGCTGTTGCTGAAGGGCGGCCGCTTGCGCAGCACGTTGGGAAGCCACGCGATTGGCTTCTGCCACGGCCTGTGCAATCTTAGCTTGTTCTTCCTCCTGCTGACGAGCCTGAGCTTGTTTGTTCCACTCGCGATTTTTCCTGATCTTCTCTTCTCGTTTGGCTGCCAATCTCTGTTCTTTCAGCCTGGCCTCCTCTTCCTTTTTGGCGGCTGCCTTGACGTCCCTGGCCCGAGCATCAGCAACAGCTGGCGTTGGTTCCTTTGGCTTTACATGTACGTGTACCTTGACGGGAGCAGGAACAGGAGCTGGCACCGGGGCGGGAGCCGGTGGAGGAGGAGCTACGTGCACGACTCGTGGTTCCTCTCGTACCGGTACAGGAGCAGGTTCTGGGGGTGCAGGCTCACTTACCGGCTCACCCGCGCCTTCGGAAAGAATCCAAACTACCAAATCGTCCGCAGTAGCCCGATCTGTACCACCACACGCTTTCACAGCTGCGCTGATTTGATCGTCCGTGAATCCCATGCCCAACAGAGCCTCCACCAGCGGATCCTTCGCTGCAGCCGCCGGTGCAGTTTCACTGGGGTCCATCTTTTCGTCCGATTCCGCTGTACTCTTTGTGCTGGTGGTGGTTTCCGTAGCCTGTTGTTGACCTTTCTTCTTCTTTTTCTTCTTCTTTTTGGCATTCTTAGCATTACCACTCTCCTCGGAAGTACGTAGCTCAATGACTTCCGGTTCGACCGAATCATCGTCATTCTTCGCATTGCCCTTTGGAGGAGTGGCTTCCACGACTTCAGGTTCTTCCTCTACGACCGGCTCTGGTTCTGGTGGAGGCGGTGAGTATCCATGTTGTTCGACATCTCTTAACCTCTCGACCATTCGTTCCATAATGACCCGAAACCTCTTCCGATCATCATTGGACGAGGAAAAGTAGCCCAGTGCTTCTTGTAGCGCCAAGCCATGTGTCTCCAGCACTTTGTCTTGTGATCCATGCGATAGCGTTTCGGCCAATTCCCGAGGCGATATGCCCTTCCCCGTACTTTTGTTGGCAGAGTTTGGCATGCACACAAAGAAGAACCATAATGAGGCCAACCCAGAGGGCAAACAAAAATAACAACAATCCTACAGTGTCCCTTCCATCGAATCGAATCCAACCTCATGCATTGTTTGGTTGGCTGGCATTGCATTGCACCAATCATCCACATCGTGTTGTATCTACAGTAATATTCGTACAGTAATCTGCTAACTCACCTTGACTTCCACGTATGCGTATCGGTTGATTTCAGCTTGACATCGGCACCGGCTTTGAGTATGGTTTCCAATACGGGTTTGGATCCGGACAATACGGCGTAATGAATGGGTGCAAAACCTGACTCCTGGCACGTCGTGGATAGATAGGAACTGGGCAGTGTTGACAGTTCCCCCTCTTGTGTCCAATTTTGTGCCAAATGTAGGGCATGGTCTACAAAGTTGATTTCACCCAACAAGCAGGCGGTATGCAATGCGGTTCGTCCCGTTCGGAGTTGCGTCGTAAAGACTAGCGGCAAGTTGGTGTCCATGACGTAATGCGCCAGTTTGGTCCGTGCTTCATTCCCTCGTTCGGCCAGTGTCCGATTCTTGGCGACGGTATGTGGCAATAGGAATTCCAAATGAGGTGTCATGGTCGCCATGGTCATGAGGGGTGGTGGTGTGCCATCGGCATCCAAAGAACTAGTTGTTGTGGTTGTCGTCGTCAAGGGCGATTCTTCCAACAAGGATTGCAATTTTTCGACTTCATTGGATTGACAGGCAGAAACGACGCGACTACGCCACGACAAGATTGCCTTTTCTCGTTTCTTGGCAGCTGCTTCGGCCGCTTTGGCCGCGGCTTCTTTGCGTGCCTTTTCTTTCTTTCGATTTTTCTTTTCTCGTCGTTTGGCAGCTTTTCGAGCCCGTTCTTCGGCTTCCATGGCATCTTCAATGGCGACCTGTTCAAGTGATTCCCATTCGACGGGAGCAATCCCGGATCGTCCCGTGATGGGTGTGGCACCACTGGCATTGGCAATGAGAGACGCGGCCGTTGTGCCTTTGGGGATGTTGTTGTTTTTGGACGTTTTCTTGTCATGTTGTTGTTGTTGCAATTGAATTTCATTCATGTCATCGAGTGGTGGCAAACTATCATCGTCGTCGTCATCATCATCCGAGTAGGCGTATCGATGAGCATTGAGCGCGTCTAAATCTCCCGTGGCAGCGGCAATGGCAGGATCGGGCCAGACGACTCCATTCTTGTCGTCGTCTCCAAACGTAAACAAATGATTGCTATTGGAAGAAGACGAGATAGAAGACGTCTCTCCATTTTTCTTGGCTTTTGCAGCTCGTTTCTTGGCGGCTGTGGACTTTCCAAGTTTTTCCGTGTCCATGGACATGCCCATGATTTCTACAAACATGGACATGAGTGCTTTCATTTCGGCTTCACTGCAGGGGAGTGACTCCTTTCCAGTAGCCGTTTTGTTGTTGTTATTGTTGACATTGTTTGCTGCGGCATTGATATTGTTCATGAGTGTATTGGCGTTGGTGGCGGCGGCGGCGAGTGGATTTCCCAAGAGACTGCTGGTGGCGGCTTTGGTACTCGCAGCAGCAGCGGCTGCCGCAGCGGCTGTGCGAGGATCGAGAGGACTTCCTGCCATGGACATGCCCGTGCCGACGTTAATGTTCATGTTGGTTCCGAATCCACTGGTCGGAAAAGGCGCCGTATTGCTGTTGCAGACATTCCGCGCGGCTGCACTAGTGAGTGCCGACAAGTCTCCTGCTTTGGCCAGAGCGGCCAAATCCAAATTGCCAAAGGAGACCGAATGAGGCGCCGATGAACTGCTGGAAGACGAAGGGTTGCCACTCAAATTCATATTCATGCTCATGTTCATATTGACTCCCAGACTGGAGAGAGGAGTCACTAATCCACCCGGTCCTCGATGAGAAGAACTACCAGCGGCATAATTGGGATTCATCCAATGCAGCGATTCCATGGCACCACCGGCACTCGTCGTGTGTGCGGCAATTCCGTTGGGACCCAATGTGATCTGGACACTCTCGCCTCCACTCCCAGCGGCGGCGGCGGCGGCTGCCGCGGCGGCTTCGGCTGCTTGTTGCAGGTAATTGGCAGCCGCCTCGGGAGACATCATGTTGGCCGTATTCGAGGCTGTCGAACGCCACACTTTGCGCTTCTTCCCGTGCACAATCGTCTCTTCGTACGAGGCACTCGTACGGCTGCCAACGCCTCCTGACTTTTTCTTGGCAGCGCTGCTGCTGCTCATCTTTCTTTTTGATGATCAATCAGTCAATCGACAGTCAAGATAGATAGATGATGATGATGATGATGGAGTTCTCGAAACAAATCTCAAAGCCAAGAGAAACCTGGAGCTACTACACTCTTAGACAGCTCCAGACTTCTCTAAATGTCTGTCTCCCCGACTCGGTATACCACTCGCTAGTTGTTGTTGTGTTCGGATGATGAGAGGTCTTTTCTCACGGCATAGATAGATGTCAATTGAGTTAGTTGAGTTTGTTCTGTGATGATGATGATGACAGCCAGAGACAACACAACCACGTGTTTGCCCAGGTCTCTCGATCGCTCGAGGTGCCTGGAGATCTGATGACTGCTGTCTGTTTTGTTGCTCTCGGGAAGCGCGCGTACTAGTATAGTAACCGTACGTGCAGACTTTGGGTCAAGGTTACCATAAACTGCGGGAGTTTGGGCCATGCCACCGGTACCGTACCAGCGGTAGAGGGGGCTACCAAAAGCAATGGTACGGTATGCAGAGGAGGAGGGCAGGATGCAATCAACCTGAGCCGAGCGAACAACCGAGTGAGCACAGCAACAGCAACAGCAAAACCAAAGAAGGAGAGAATGGCAAGTGAGGGGGGCGGAGAGGATCAAACGAGGAAGACTAGCGGAAGAGATCAAGAGCGCCTGGGTCATCCCAACGCTTGGAGAGCTTGTGAGCGATTGGGTTGAGTGGTGCTTGGATTGTCAATATCCTACATGTAGTATTTTACCTTGCTGGATGATTTTGGGATACAGTAATCTCATTATAAACACGGTAGATAGCCTTGGCCCAGTTGCTTGGTGGAAGAACTGATCCAGCGGACCAAGCCCGCACCGTGCCTTCACTGCAGTCAAGTTGTGACAATACGGTATGGTTAATAACTGGCTGCAAAACCATGGACATCACACTACTTTATTGATTGCTATTCATCTGTCTTGGATATTCATTACCAACTAGGACCAGTTTGAAGATAGATGGATGGAATAGTCCTTGACTCCTTTTAAAAATTAATGAAGGCCATCTTATTGATCCTAACCTCAGCCTCAACACTGCTTGATGCAGAATAAAGACAGCAAGTAAGGTTTGGCCATGCGCCTTTGCAAAACTTGCTCAAAAGCCTCAAAACTTCCACCGTACCGTACAGTACTGTACTTGACTTCAAAACTGCACATACAGCAGATTCTTACGCAGCGTATAACACCAAGCCAACAAGAGCAACAAGGAAGGAGCTCTCGCTTTGCAGAGAAGAAGTGCTAGCACCACTTTGCTTAGCGGCATCTGATCCACCTTCTGAAGCTGCTTCATCAGAGCCTCCGTCCGAACCTTCTGTATCTCCGTCTGAGTCTACATCTGAATCACCATCCGAGTCTCCCTCAGATGATTGCAAGTTGGATCCCCCACTCACGTCTTCTACTAGTGTACCAAATCCAAGTGCCTCGCAGTTATCATAGAGAGGTGATCCCTCCTCGCCACTTCCTGAAAACCCACATTCGGCAACCCACGCGAATTCACCATCAGGGTCGTTGACTGGGTGTGTAAGAGCCTTGAAGAAATTCACACAGAATCTCGTTCCCCATTCTGGGGTGATTGACTCTAACGTTTTTGCATCACACTCAATCACAGTGCCACAGGCTTCCAATGAGGCCCCGGCCCCGGCACTCTCAGCATCAATACTGGCTGTGCGTCGCTGCTCCGACACAGAACGGCTGACACCAATAGTGCATTGTGTATAGCTGCGCATAGCTTCCATATAGTTGTTTCCCTCATCGCACTGGGTTGGGGCTCTATATCCTGCTGCCAAGTCAGTGCCCTCCCAGCAAAACAAGAAACCATTGTCATCCACTCCCACATTGCCTTGATTGGGAGCATACGCCAAGGATTGACAAAAGGTCTTGCCACAGGCTGCGATTCCTTCATTGGTGACTCGTTCCAGTTCTCGGGCGGTGGAATCGTCACCGAAAGCATAGTCCAAATCTCCTCCACACTGGGTGCTAGCCGCAATAAAGTCGGGTCCATAGGAACACTGCTCATCCAAAGCGAGAATCGCAAAAGGAGGCTGTTCGGTAGATTGTGTCTCTCCGGATGCCATGGGGAGATCCGCATCAATTTCACAATCACTATTAGCACCGCCAATGGGAATGCCGCACAAGCGCTCCCATTCCAAATAGGCCAATTCTTGGATGGTTCTAGAGGTGTCGGTTGCATTAATGTCTGCAAATTCATCCGGTCCAAAGAAGTAGTCTCCATTGGGACCGAGGGGTCGAATGAACAACGGGTCAATTTTGTCGCATTGCACGACCTTGGCTCGGAGTCCGCCTTGAGCGCCCCATCCCGGAAAGTAAGATCCCTGGATTCCGCCAAATTCGTCATTGCCAGGTTCCGTATAGTCCGAGGGCGCAAACGCCCAAACAATGTTGGCGCGATGTTGATCAGGCGAATCCTTCCAGGTTTGGATGAATTCCGCAAACTGAGCGAGTGTGTCGGGCTGCAACTTGAAAATGGCCATGGCTTGAGGCCAAGCAAGGGCGCTGTTGACAAGTGCATCATCGCAAGTCTTGGAGACGGTATTGCTGGCATCAATGCCGACTTCACAAAGCGCTTTGCTGGCCTCACTTCCAAGGGAGCAGCCTCCAAACATGACAAATGGGCTTCCATCGGCAACGTGTTGCTGCATTCTGGCGCCTCCCAGTTCACACAAGTCCATGACTCTCTGCATGTCCGCAATGGGATACCTGTAGGTGTATTGTTCCGTGCCATTAACCTGTCTAGGGACGGTCTGATTAAAGTCCTCGATAAAGGGAGGAGGCGGCAAGGATTGCATAGAAAAGTAGCAGAGTTCCTGGCCGACACCCGGCCCTTCCTCCAACCCAGGTAGCAATCCAGCGGCATAGGCAGCTACAATGTCGGGCATGGTATACGTAGTTCCAGTGCCTGGTTCGGTATAAGCCACACGAGCAACGCCAGCCGGATTGACAAAGGCATTGCGGGTCAAAGGTTCGTAGCCTTGTCCGCCATTGTCGGGTCCAGTGTTGGGAATCAACTCGGGAAGACGATAGTCTTCCTCTCCATCCTGCAAATGGCGATGACGTTGCTTACCAAAGACTTGTGGATGCGAGGGACTGGCTCGACGAGCCAAGGCTTGCAGAATCGAACCGCTCAGAGGCTGAGAACTGCCATCAAACATGGGACAAGCCCAACAGGGCAAGGGAGATAGCAAGAGCAACGCAAACGCAAACTTCATGGTTTTGGATATATATGATGTGATGGGCTGGCTATCTACGTGGTACCGGTACCGTCTCAGAGTGTACGCGGACGTTGGATGCACCCACGAAAATGTTCCTTTATTAGTTAGAAGGCAGGACAAGGACAAGTACAGTGATCTTATTTGGCGAGTGCCGGTACCGGTACGACCGTGCGTCGCACGATATTATCGTTCCAGTGGGGGATGGGCAAATCTTGCTATAGCGCTGTAGTGTTCTCAACAGGAGTGACTCAGAATGTCAGAAAAAGGATAAAATGAAGCTTTTAGCGGGAAGCAAGATTTAATTAGATTAGATTGTATTGGATTAAATTGAATTGGATTCCAAATATTACTGTTATCTGTATAGTAAACTGGAATTCAATGCAATCCAATTCAATTCAATCCAATCCAATCTAATCCAATACAAAATTGCAGCCTAAAACAAATATTCTCTTTTTCACAGACATTTTTACAAAAACGCTATCAAATACAATGCAGGGTACCGTGCGTCGTTCAAACCCTGCTTTGGATCTTTTGGGGAATTGTGACTTGCCATTGACGTGGCGGTGTTCGGGTGTGGGTACCGTAGGTCTCTCAACCCCCGCTTTGGATCTTTGGGGAATTGTGACTTGCCATTGACGTGGCGGTGTTCACACCTTTGTGGGTACCGCCTACATGACATTGTACATGTAGCTAGCTAGCTAGATGCTTTTGTCTAGACTTTAACCCTCCTCCTTCTCCCCTCTGTTGCCCTTTCCACTAATCACTTTGCATAGGTGGGCAGAGATGAGAAGCTTGCTTCAGGGAAGAGCCTACAATGAGGGGTCCTCAAGGACAGGCTCCAGCGCTGACTGAGGGGAACCATCCCAAAGCCGCGTCTGTAAATGCGTCATTGGTTTGGAACCGGCTTGGGCCCGGGGGAGCTCCAAAATTCTATGCACTCTCCACTATAAACTACTTGTTTTCAGCTATACATTGTTCGTGATCACCTTGTCCATGATGCATACATGGTCAGGCAAATGGAACTGGAAAATGCTCAGGATCATCCTGGTCGTTGAGCCGATTTGCACCCGCTCTAGGAATGATTTGTTCCAAAGTTGTGTTGTACATAGTAGCATATGATCCTACAGCAGTCACACAATCCCGAAACATTTGTTTCAGACTATCTCCAAACAAGGAGACAACCGGCATTTCGATTGCAGTTTCGTGTGATATGTCATTTTCTTCTGCATAAATCACTGCAATTTATCAGCAAGCCACGACATGACATGAGGACAGCATCATACGAACTCACAAGAGGGCAGAATCATGCCATGAATCACGTGCTTACCTGCCACGACTGTCCAAAACACAAACTCATTCCACTGGGTGTCATCATCGGTTGTCATCAATGCAAAGGCATCCATATTGCTGTTGTTGTAGAAGTATGGACGTGAAAATGAATACCCCCTTGCCGTTGTAGGTTCATGGTAGTCTGCCTGCAAAGAAACTCGAGATCCCGCAACGAGATCGACATCACCACTTGAAAGGGATGAATATGCACCATTGGCATTGCCTTGAAGATTGATGAACTCTACCCTCATACTGTCCCCACCAAAAATTGCAGTTGCAACAGCATTACAAAACTGAACATCAAGACCAACCCAACCGCCTTCATCCTGCGCCGCAAACCCCAGGCGAGGATGCACCCCACAGCGAAGCATTCCTCTCTCCATTACAGAGTGTAAGGTCATGCCAGGGATTGGATCACGTCCCAGAACATCCAATTCTCTAAAGGTATGGGCATACAAGAGACCAGAATTGCTGTTGTTTCCATAAATGGCATTGAGACCTTGGCGAGGAACAAAAGGTCCAAGATTCCTCCGGTAGACATCACCATAATTCCCAACCTTTCTCACAACAGAAGTCATGATAGATGCCATTTCAGTGTTGTTGGGAAGATAGAGAGCAATATCATCAGCGTTCCCGTTTGAGATGTTGAAAGCCTCAGCCGTGAAAAGGGTACCTATAATCAGATCCACAAGATTGGACCACCCTGGATCATCATCTCGAGTCATCAGGCCAGCATGGCTCCGTGCAAAGAACTTTGTGCCAACCCTGTACGGTCCCTCGTATCCCATTTCCCGAACGGAAGCCTCAACTAACGTAAGTGAATTGGTAAATATGACATTACAAAGATTTGCCGTCAACTTTGAGGCTATGTCATGGTGTACACTGTGTACCGCTTCTATAGGCACGAGTGGACTTCCAGGCAGAAGTTCCCACATGAGGCTCTCCGATACGGATCCTGATCCGTTAGAATGGAAGCTCCAACCAGGTGAGAGGAAGTTTGATAAGAGCAAACGCAAAATAGGGAGAGGAGAGAACCTACCAAAAAAGGCACAAATCTTCAAATCCCGACACAAGCCATACAGAGTATCAAGCTTCTCGGCGCAGTCGACGAAGGTTGGGACGCCAGCAAAGACCCCACCCCCGTAGAACACCACTCTCGAGAAAGCAAAAGGGGTTTTGCTCTCTCGATGAAACACATCCCTTCCCATGTTATGAGTAGTTACATCTGTTATCACGTCGACAGTGTGGTTTGCGAGCAAGGTAAACAAGTTTCCCCACGACGCTCGTTCTGCAACCATTTCAACTTTGTCCGGAGTGCCAAACACGGCAACTGACAACGCTTTGCACTGACAAAACCCAAAAAGAGGCCAATGTAAGGAAATGAGAGAATATAAAGTATGTCCATACTGCTGGTTCGTTCAAAGCGGCTCGGTTACGTACAGAGTCATGACTCAATCCGTCCGATAAGTCCCTGTTCCAACCGTATATTGCAGGATAAACTCCGCAGCGAACGAATCCCCGATCACGGATAATGGCCAGAGTTGAGGGGCTTGTATTTGTAACTCCAGGGGGGCTGGTATCGGAACCTTCGTGGTTCTGATATGTCCCTGTCGTGGCCAAAACTATAACCACCACCACCACCACAATGACGGCAACGAAGATGGAGACATATATCGCCCCTGCTCTCAAACTTGCCCGTTTGTTGTTGTTATTGTTGTTGTCGCCGCCATCCTTTGTGGACACCTTTTCGTCCGGCATCACCACAGCATCGGCTTGCACCGTTCCAGATTCGCCTAGAAGTCGACTGATAACCTCCTGTTCGATCTGAGCTCTTTGTTCCTCTATATCGAGAGTACTCGGATGCTCGTCATCTACGGCATAGGCACTGACAACTGTTGCATCATGCGATTGTATAGATTCGTCCTTCGTAGAAGCAATGTCTGTTTGTCCAGTGCGTGTTACCGGAGCTCCATCAGATGAAACTTCTTGCTGTATTGGTTGCTCCACGGGAACCTCACAACATCGCACGGCACTGTCTCGTCGAATGACGTGCCCTCCAGGTGAGCGAGTGTGTATAGGCTCCGGGTTGGCTGGGTTGTCGTGCGGCTTCTATCCCTCCATTCTTCTCGTTCCTTTCGGGACTGTTATTACTACTGCCATTGGGTACACCTGATGTTTCTTCAACTCCTTCCAGACGAACCTTTTGTGCACCATTGTCGAATCTCGCGCAAACTATTTTCTGCGATACATCGTTAGGAATATCACTTCCATCATTGCAGTCATCCTCACGACTGGCTGCTTCCACAGTCTGCTGCTGCTTGGACTGCGATGGCTGATTTTCCTCAACAGCGGTGGTACCGGTACCCTGGACATTCTCAGCAGAACCCGCTGCCAAGGTGCCAAGACATTCAAAACTCTCTTCGTTGCTGTCGCTCATCCTGCAACCTCTGGCTATGTATTAGTTAGTCTAGCTAGCTCAAGTAAACAATGGAAGCTACGTACTTGTACAACGGATGTTAGAGGAGAGAAATTTATGGACTCGACTCCGAAGTCCGAAGTCCGAAGTCGTCTAGCTAGAGCTACTAGTACGTGTAGCTACGACTGTACGTACTCCAGCGAGGCATGGTTCCTCAAATCGAAATGAAGCAGGACTAACTAGATTCTGATTATCAGGGTACTAGTATGCATACCGGTACCGTACGGCACGAATCGAATCACCTTTTTACACTAAGTCCTCGCTCGATCGTATCCTCCTCCAGCCATAAAAAAGATATACAAAAATACCACTCCCACACCGGTCATTGACCTACTACAGTACAGTAGTATCTATTACCCAACTTGCACCCAATGATTGAGTGGTGTATCTTTGGAGGGGGCAATGGTTTGGGATGGATCGGTAAACTCCAAAGTGAGTTTTTGCTTTTGGTGGATGCCAGTTGATCGACGTTCCATGGTCCAAAGGGTGACCAACAATGGCACGGGTGGCGGGGAAGGTTTTCCCGGTACATCAAAGTCGACCATGGCCGTACACGTGTTTGGATCCAAGGGTGCCGTGACAGTCCAGGATTCGTCCTCGGAAGCCGAATGAATTTGTAATACATTTTGGTTGGATGATACTATGGAGACAATCTTTTGATCGCCATCGTGCATATCGGCAAAGACGGCATTGGAGAGGGTTCCACAAGGAGAAGCATGACGTTGTGACGACGACAAGATTTTTTCCAAGGGGTAGATTGTAGTAGGGGATGAGGAGACGAGGAAACAAGATACCGCAATAGCAAGTAAGAAACATGCCACAAGGATATTCTTCTTGGCACTTTCGCGTCTTGTTGATGTTGAATTATCCCATGTCGATTTTGTCTCTGCTGTCGCTCCAGTCAAGAGGTTGGTGCACTCATCCGTGCCGTTCCAAGAGCCTTCCTGCATGATGACGGTGATGATTAGGTAGAGGAAGCTATCTGATATAAATACACTTGCTGTTGGAGTGGGATCTTGCAAAACTCGAACGATGAATGATCGAGGAGATTCGTGCTGGCTGGATGCTGGATCAATGAGAGAAAAATGACACGAATGATCCATCCATCAAAAGCAACACGTCATTGTGGTTAGTCGAATGAGTCGAAGATCATTCCCTGACACCACATCCATCAAAGAAGAAACGAAAGACGACGTGCAAGAGAGCGTTGAGAAGATAGCTCGATGCATGTTGTCAAGCCCACAATTGGGCTTTTGTTACGGTAGAAGAGTTATCCAGATGCAACGTTTGCATCAAGGATAGTAGAATAAGCTGACTGACTGACTGATAGGAGAAAGATTGGAGCTTGGATCTTCTGTAGAAACTCAGATCATCGAAAGAATAGCAGACCTCTGATCTCGGATATCTTGGGCTCCAATTTGTTCAATTGGTGTTGTCAACGAACCGGCAATCACCTGATCAAACGAAAGTTTTCAAGACTACAGACTGAACATCTCTGTTTCAAGTTTTTGAGGAAACTCTGCCTCAAGCGAAGATCTTCTGTCTTCTCAAGGCTCCGCGACAGATTGGATTTATTCTCAAGATCTTTCATTGGGTGATTGATTGATAGTTCGTTCTGACGTCCTTATTCGGCATATCAGTCGGCACCATCAACTCAACTCAACTCAACCTTGTAGTACAGCATCAGAGCAACAAAAAGCTATCCACAACAATCTACGCTAGCTGGCACCATGAGATACTTCTTGTACTTGTGGATGCTCCATCCTCCGTGGTATGTGTCAGTGACAACGGCATTTGTGCCACTGTTACAACAATGGCCATCACCAAGATACACCACTCATCCAATGATGGATTTGTCGTTGCAACGAAAACTGGTTCGTCTCCACGATGAAGAGCAGAGTGACCAAGAGGGAGTCATCACCGAGGACTTGACAAACAAAAATGCCACTTCAACTGAAAAGAAGAAGAATACCTCAGCAACAGAAGAAAACAAGAGCGAATCATCTTCTGAGAAACAACCAGCGGCATCGTCGATTGGAACCTTGTTGATGCAACTGCAAAAACAGCAAGAAGAACTCCAAAAAACAGATGCCATTCAAGCCATCACACTGGATGCCGGAGAAGTTTCAAAGAACAAAAAAAGTGGCCAGAACAACAACGTCAAGACGTCAACAATATCCAGCAAAACTCACCAAAAAAGCAGTAGTGACACGTTGCCCCCACCACCACCAGTGGTGGACGAGAGTCTAGACCGCATGGATGCCGGTACGGCACGTGAATTGGATGATGCTGCCACTTGGATGGTGTCGTCTCCCAACAACAACAACATGGATTCGGTACAACTTAAACCACTGCCCTCGCTGTATGCGTCTTCGCCCACGTACAACCACAACAACACTGCTACTAGCAGCAACAACACAACCAAACAACAACCACAAGCACCGCTCCGCATGCCCGAACAGTACTTTGATAGAATATCCAGAGATATGCGACACTTGGCCGTGTCCATTGCGTCATCCATTGAAGATGTCGATCAATGGCGCACATTTTGTCAAGAAGGCAACGGCGGTCTCATGCCACTACTAGAATGCATTCGAGAAGGCGCGGATCAATTGCAAAAACAGCAGCAGCAACAACAGCAGCAACAAAAACGACGTCGACGACCGCCCACCAACTTTGTGGTGTTGGAACAACAGCAACATCAAAATGAAGAAACTTTCATGGCGGCATGTACCGCGTGTCGGGCATTGCGAGACTTGTGTGCCGTATCACCTGAATTGTCCGCCGTCATGACGGATGGGATTCTACGAGCCAATGCAGCCTATTCCACCACCACCACATCGACCAGTCATCGCTCGGATGTATTCAACAGGCAGGATGAAGAGGACGATGAAACAACTACGCATGGACGACATGTCCATCAGACGGGCAGCAATCTGATGCATGACTTTATGACCATGCTCAAATATGCCAATGAATACACCGAACCAACATCCAGAAGGGCTTCCAACAACCCCTTCAAGAGAAATAAGAGTCGAAGAGGTACGTACTTACTTTTGGTGATAGCGTTGTGTTGTGTTGGGAATGCGGAAAGGAGAGTTTTGTTCTGACGGTTCTGTGGCATTGTCTTATTATTTACCCCACTGGCATCAATAGACGCGAGACTGCGGTGCAAGCTCTATGTTACCCAGCTTTTGCTGGCCATGACCATTGCGAGTGATGATGCTGTCGAAGCCATCCGAAACACGGAAGGGCTGCCGGAAACAATATTGAAATGCTCATCGTATTCGAGAGGGGAACAAACTCGACGTTGGCTGCGTTATCCGGGTGAAGTGATGAAGTTTCTGTGGCGCAAAAAGAAGAAAATGAAAACTAGTAGTAACGGTCCAGAGGCCGGGCCAGACAGTGAGGATCAAGATTCGTCGTCTTCGTCATCACCCGAGGGTAACAACAAGCGACCATTTATGCAGGCAGCTGCAATTCAAAACAACTTGGATGGGCAGGTTCGGCGTACTGCCAACCAAATACTTGCAGCAATCGGGTACAATCGCTGGGTTCCCAAAATACCTGGGCAGGTGAGATAGCCACTGCGCGTCCTGTGCTCACTGCTTTTGTGATTCGTTCCCCAACACGTTCTCATGCTTTTCACTCTCTCAGCGTGGCCTGCGCATATTAGTGATGGATGGTGGGGGATCACGAGGAATGGTTGCTGTCAGTCTCGTTAAAGGACTTGTAGAGGCCGTTGGAGGCGTGGAAACCGCAGACTCGTTTGACATTATCGCAGGTACTTCCACTGGTGGGATTATCTCGTTTCTGATTGGGCTTCGGCGCGAACCCAGCCATCTCGCAGTGGATCGATACAATCAACTGATCAGGCAAATCTTTGTCAAGTCATCTTTGAGCACGCCCATGATGCTGTTCACCACGGCGACCTACGATGAGTCTCACTTTATGGACATTCTGAGCGACATTCTCAAGGACAACATCATGCTGGATAGCAGGGCAGACCCAGCAGTACCCTACGTTTTCTGCGTTGCCTCCAAGATGTCATCCACCCCAACTCACGTGGCCCTCTTTCGGAACTACAACTATGCTGGCGGAGAGCTTGCCGACCCGTTCACTATAGATCCCGACAAGGCTCGTTTGGAGTTAGATTTGCCTTTGGAGTTGGAGCACGAGATAATCCGCACTAGTTCTTATGAGCGACAGCAAGAAGTCCGCCCCAGCTCTGGATACAAAATTGAAGGTTCGAGACATCCCGGTACGTGTCCTACATCTACATATATGTGTAGTATTGATCTTGTTGTGGTCAAGTCGCCCCCATCTCACTTTCTCGCTCTGGTTAAACATTGGTGCGTCAGGATCTTTCCGTGTATTGCAACGCTATGCCCTGCGCGCTTCGACAGCAGCTCCAACTGTGTTCAAACCGGTCATGATGGGCGGTGAGATGTACTGTGACGGAGGCATTGTAGCAAGTAATCCCGCTGCTGTTGCCGTGCACGAGGCTCGTGCTATCTTTCCGGACATACCCATTGAAATGGTTGTATCCATCGGTACAGGAGGTAAGTGTAACCAGAACCTCATCAGTATGTGGTATATGTATGAGTTTTGCCTAATGCTTGATTCGATTCCTACACTACCTACTGCTGCTAAATGTAAACAGGCTTTGTGGAACAAAAGAATTCTCCAAGGATTGGATGGGACGGCATTATTGGTCAAATCGTCAACAGCGCCACGGATGCCGAACAGATCCACCACGTTTTGGAAGATATTCTGGGCGAAGGAGGGGATAGCGGTATTAACGGCCGCGGTTCCGACGTATCGCAAACTCGGTACTATCGTCTCAATCCCACCCTCGGGCTGCCCGACGAGTTTCCAATTGATGTCACCGAACCTGAGAAACTGAATCGTCTGAAAGAGATTGCTGCCGAGTACCTAGCAGAACCTGCCCAACAGAAGAAGCTGGAAGAAATTGGTAGGTCCATCGCAGTGCAGAGAGCTTTGGGGAAACAACATGTACATGTTGCACTAACTGTCTGTCACATCTTCCACCAAACAAAAACTTTAGGGGATATTCTTCAAGGCCGCAGAGGCTGGAGGAAGTGGCTCCCGTAGAGTGAGTGAGAGTGGGCATTGGGTCCCTGCAAATTGTTTCGATGCGACCAACCAAGCTAAATGGCAGTGGATGCACTGTCTTGAGGCGTTGGCTGGTCTATTACTGGGAGCTCGTCTTTATATGTCGTTTGGACGTAGGCTACACAACGAGCTTCAACGTCTGGCCCAAACAAGCGAATCAATGCCTGAGTGGTGGGAACCACCTTTTCGGTCAAGGTGCGCCTGACAAAGGTTGCTTTGTTCTCTGTGTACATGGTTATGGTAAGGGAAGATCGAGGCGATCCGTCCAAGGTGCCGTCGAGTCCGTCAAATTCTACCACGGATGCAAAAGATTCCACCAGCTCGGTCTGCAAATCTTGCGCTCGGCGTCGCTCCTCTTTTCCTAGGTCCATACTAGCATAACTGACTAAATCACGGAGAGTATCCTTGAGCTGCAGACTATTCATTGTGAATACTTGATAGTTGGCTCCTCCACCAATTTTCCCAGTAACCAAGGCTTTGCTGGCCAACCTAGCTTCCAGATACCGTTGTTTTCGGATATCTGGGTTGTCACTTTGCAAGTCTTTGGATGCCTTCAATGCCCAGTACTCGATGCGAAGGAGCGAGACAATGCAGAGTTCCAGTTGTCGTTTCGGTGGCTCTGAAAACAACAAGCCTGCAGTGGAAGGCATCGGATAAAGTCCTGCCATGAATGTGGAAGCCGTCGATATCAAAGCTTGTCGTCGCGAGAAATCATCACTGGTGGGGTGTGCTGGAATGGAATGATCATTCGCGGTTTCCGATGTCCTTCTTTCCGGATTTCTCGGCTGGAATGCCCGCACTTCAAGCATGTCTGCTGAAATTAGCAACAGAGCAGCGAAGAGAAAGACCACCCAACTGGAGGATCTGAAGCATTGTCGACCGCAGCGCATGGTTGTTGGACTCATCCTTGGATATGTTTCTCTTCGTAGATTTGATTTTGTGAGCTGTTTGAGCTTTCTTTGAACGCATCGAGGAAAGATCGATGACGTGGTTTAGTTGGAGGGTTCAGTGGCCGCATGTTCAGTGGCCATTTTCAAGAAGCACACGACCAACGATGACCCGTACTGTACAGTCAACGCTCTCTTATATTTATAATCTTGTATTTATTCGCTCTATAATATTTAAGAATACTCCAGTTCCCACATTTTTAACTCTAACCCTATTTTAGTACTAGAGCACGTACAATTCTACGGGAATAGTTAGGGTTAGGGATAAAATCAATATTTATTCTCGCTGTTATATTTACTGAATTCCTGAATCCCCCCCAGTATATATATCTGAATGTTGACTGTACGTTGGTTTTGCAAGACTTCCGCTGGTCTTGGAAGACCGCAGAAGATCCCACGCTACACGCACGCCTGTCAACGATAACGATACACATACATCGATCCGAGTCATAACCCTAATCGAACCTCCTAGGGGCTCAACATGGCTGGCGTGCTATGTGTCGATAGACACTGAACTCTGAATTGTCGCATGCACCAAGCTTGCGTGCAGAAATCACCATCAACGATGACGCTCTTGCTTCTTAGGTTTGCATCAACAGAGATCGACCAATCAGATTTCTACAGGACCCTCCAGTCTGAGTTTGTCGTGGCCCCATTCTCCCAAAACCAACAACAACAATCTCCCATGGCGTCCACCATCACAACCTATGGGAAGACCACCAGAGTAACAGGGGTCCGGTTTATCAAGGAACTTAACAAAGGTGATTGCAAGAAGAAGTCTGGAAAGGAGTGGCGCAAACAACAAACAGCGAAAAGGATGGCAACCCGGAAAATAGAGGAGCGCGAAGATGCGAGTGAGTATATTTATTATTTGGTGTTGTTATTCTCAACCTTGGCATGCTCCGTTCAAACTGACTTCTGACAACTCGTCTCTGCAGTTGCCAAGGCGCAGCGGCTGGTGAGTTACCTCGAGAAGGTTGATTCGGACAAAGACGCTTTCTTTGAATCAATGAAATCTGAGATTGATTTGGTCAAGGAGCACTACAAAAGGAACTACGACGCCTGGAATAATGTGCATGGTGCTGGTGCAACAGCTGGAGGGACGTCTGCCGCAAGCGGCACTGCAGCCTCAGGAGGGAACGCAAGTGCAGGAGGGGCCTCCGAATGGACACCGCTGGAGGTAAAAACTCATGTTGGTCGCAAGATTGTGGTGGAACTCAGTGATCTCCACTTTCTTTATTACCTCAAGTCATTGGACAAGCGTTTCGAAAACAGTTCTACCCTATTTCACATGGGGGTTCTTGAGAGAAGGGCTGTCGAGTTGGGCTTGATTCGCGAGGAAGATGCTATGTCTGAATCATCGGGGGAATGAGTGGCTACTCGGTGAGACCACAACCTGAACTGAATCAATCCATAACAACCTGCCCTCCTTTAATCCATGACACTCGGCGTTATACAAAAGCATACATGCCATACTTAGTTTATTTGCTTCTTCGTCTCTCTCCTACTTGGTTGTCTTGTATGTGGACTACTTTTAGGAATCCTCCCAGGATGAGTGTCTCCTGCTGTTAGAAAATGTGAAAGGATCAGGTGACCAGAGGGGACAAAACCGCAGCGCTGGTGCCATCTGGATCAAAGTGTTCAGGGTCTAGTATTACCCCGACCTCCACTTCGGTCCAGCGTCCAAGTACTATATTTTTATATAGTAATCTCAGATTTGGACCGAAGGCCAAAGTTGAAGCGTGACGTTGGTCTTGCGTGACATCAATCCCATTTCGATGCAGCAACAACAATGACGTCCAATCAATCCCATTCCGAGGCAGCAATCAATCCCATTCCGAGGCAGCAACAACAAATGCCCACACGGATGGCAACACCATGGCAACAACGAAGTACAAAGATGTTGCGGAAGACCGGCTGGCCTCGGCAACCAGCAAACAGAGGAATGCCTTGAATCACTTCCAGCTCTTCCTAGACGACTACCTACCGCAGTTCGGTGACATCATGGAGGTTGAAGACATCCCTTTTAAAGGGCTTGGATTACCTCGAAGGGCTTCACCCAAAGATACAAATGAGTTCTGGTCCAAGTTAATGGGTTGCTTTGTCGATTACCTCAGCACTGCCACATACTACAGGAATCCCAACAAACGCCTCGCCGAAGCATCTGCCGACGGTTTCTTCTCGTCTGTCAAGGAATATTTTACAACAAAATTCAGGCATGAAACTCCCATTCCAGTCTTCAATGACCCACAATGGGGTAAGCTGCGCTCCAAACTCAAGGGCAAGTTCCGTGAATCTAGCAGAGGCAGACTGCCAAAGAAGAAACCCTCCAGTACCCGCGAAGATAGGGAGGCCCTTGCAAAAGCTGCGTTTTGGCAAGCCACCGCTACATCATCGGAATTTCTCCATCTCCTCAACAGTACTTTCCACTGCAGTGCACGAGGCTCCGAAGTTTCACTGATAGCTGCAAGTGGCACATCTGCCATTGAAGCAACCGAATCTGTGTACCGCTACCGCCTCCTTCAAGTGGACTGCCAACGCCAGAAGAATGGCCCCTTCCATGAAATTCAGATTTATCCAGATGCGGACGGAGTCTTGGAGGACTGGTATTTCAGCCTAATCTACATGCTCGTCCTGAGCGGCTGCGACAGTGAGTATATGTTTCCAAGGTACTCCGCTGCCGCCTTGTCCACGGTTGATGGAAAGTCCAAGTCAACGGTCCCTGCTCTTTGGAAATCCGATTTTGATGAGTTATTGGACTCACTCGACGAGATGAACCTGTCGGTCAACAAAGCCTTGAGATCCCACTGCAACAAAAGAGGCTCCCAACAGCTGTGTGCAGAAAGCCCCTCGGCTTCGGGGCTTTCCCAGTACTTCCGTGCGGGCTGGCAGAGCGCCGCCAACACTATGCTCAAGTATATAGCTGGATCGGTGGCTCTTGAGCGCCCAGCTGCAAAGGCTGTAGCCAAGTGGCCCGCCAGAGATGGCTGTGGACAACCCGTCATGTTCGACGACATTTTAGTGTCACCGGGTCCGCATTCACCACCGTCGCCACCCTCCTCCCAAGGTTCGGAACCTGTCGCAGTTGGCCCTGTTGTTGGAGAGCGCGACAAATTACAGCGTTTCACCGATTCACTGTTTGAGGATGATCAAGATGGCCTCTGGGATCAGAAGGTCCGTGAACTGCTGGTGTCCACCCTTCTTCTCAGGTATGATCAGTTCTTGGATGTTCTGCGTGACCACCCCAAAGCATGGATCCCGGATTGTACATTGAAGGAGTATGACCCTCAATATGAGTGTTTTGACTTAGAGAAATCTCAGGATTACGACACCATTCGCGACAACCTATTCGTCTGCAAGGTTAATCAAGCCATGGAAAAGGCTGAGGTGGATCCAGTCCTCTTCAAGTCTTGGTGTGAGTACGCACGCAATGCCTTCCTTACTCGAAACATTGACGGATTACCAATCCAAAACTTCTCGCTGTATGGAAGCAAAAGAGGTGGTGGGGTGTCCTTAGACCCGCGTCGTTTCACAGATCATTTCAATCAGCTTGCATCCGTGACCCAATCAACCCATGTTGTGGTACAAGAACTGCGCCACCGGCTGAACGATCTAACAGACATCGTCCGCCATGAGCAATTGCGGCGCGCCTATGATAATCAGCAGTTCTCCACGGTGTGTGAATCTGTTCGGTTGCTCAAGAACCATCTCCTCCCGTCGTCCGAATCCTCCTCAACACCAACACCAAGCAAGGGAGTCATCAAATTCTCAGTTTCTTGCAAAGCACTCAACAAAGATTCCTCCATCTCCGACGTAACCACCAAATTCTTCGTCGATAACTTTCCAGCCGGTTTTAATCTCGACAAAGAAAGTGAATCATGGAAGGATATGGATAAGAATCAACGGAAGAGTCTCTCAAATCGGTTCGCCGCTATGAAGTGCGCTGTCAGGATCGCACTGCTACACACCGATGCCTTTCCGAAGGACCCGGACAAGAAAGCAATAGGACAGATGGCAAGACTAGCAGAAGAGAAGATCCGTGCCGACTTTGGCTTTGACAAGAATGAGAGGATCACAGTCTACAAAATTCAGAAGCATGAGAAGACCAAAGGGTTGCAATCCACTCTCGGTCTACCGACTAATCTCCCCCAGCCGATGCAAGCTTTCTTCAGAAACTAGTTTATAAAATCAAGTATGTGGGTAATCAGTAGTCTCTGCAGCAGTCTCCCCGAATACATGGCATTCGCGAAGTTCCTCGAGCGTGAGTTTGTAACTGAAGGCTTCATCACCTTCAACTGCAGCCAAGGATTGCTCCACCTGTGTTGCGTCATTGATGAGGATGAAGAAGTCAATGTCAACACTTGGTTCCCAGACTGTAAAGTAGAACACTTCGATGATATCGATGCAGAGCTAGACCAACCCACTTCACTAGAGGGCTGCATGTTGATCTCTATGTACAACTCAGATTTCGTCCAAACCAAAAAGAATACAAGACTCCGGCTATGTGACAGACTGGCTGTAGCAGTATCAGGCACTTCCGCAGTTCTAGATAAACTTCCTTATTCGGACTTAACGAACTTCAAGATGGACTGAGTCCCCTTTGCCGCCTTCTTAAGCCTTTCTTTTTTTATAGATTCGATACTCTTCTTCGTGCTCCTCTTCTTCTTCTTCTCTATTGATCGTCGCTCGTCTCTGTCATCCCAACATCCACAGGCCTGTAAAGTCTTCTTTCTTCCATCGAAAAAGACAGTATTGTACACGTACTTATTACCGTTGAACCGGAACCAAGCAACCATCTCTTTTATGACCCCATGAAGATTCGCAGTCATACCCATGAAGATTCGTAGTCATACCCCCTTCACAAAGTGATGCGTCATCATAAGAATTCATTCCCATTAACGATGTGTGAATTCATTCCCATAGCTCTCCCCCTATGCGAGACCTCATAATTTCGTCTCCTGGAGACGATTTGCTTTAGGGGTAATGGTACCGATGGGGGCAGAGGTTTGAATTATACCCGGCGCGCATTACTTAGAAGGCCCTGTAGAAGTCTACGTATTCGACTAGTATTGTATTGACGGGATACAGTCAACGCATGTACATGCACATGAAAGTCGCCTTGCGTTCTTCACATTTTAAAGTTGGCTCCTAATTTTTCGGGTCGCCTGTGATTTGATTGGAGCTTAGTCTTTTTTCAATGACTGACAATGAATGACGTACGAGGTGAATGGAATCTCAGAAAGGTAGTTGAGTAATAAAAGTTTTTATATAATAGATTAATTTACCTATATCCCTACCGTTTATACTTATAACAAGAACCCCTCTTCTCGCTGGAACATTTCATCGTATTGATCTCTCCTAGGACAGAAAGCCAATAGTATCCTTAATCTTGCAAGCATGTCTCTCATCGTGTGGCATGCAAATTCTTTGGATCCCAATCCAGATTCTTCAATAAGAAAAACCACTCATGGTTCGCACCCTTGATAACACCAAGTAAGCCCAGTTTTGACAGTATCGCCATGAATAGTACCAATAACCACACTGCAGTATATCCCTGTAATTTGTGTCCAGTTGTGGCAGAATTGCTGATAATCGGGAACTGCTTACCCTTCATCTGGGTGTGTTTACAACTTCTCCGTCATAAACCATCTGTACTGAAAGTGTGAGTCTTGCTCCGTTACATAAAAATACGTGGCATAATAGTTTCCATTTCATGTTCCACAATGATAGATTTTACTTGACCTGAGAAAAAAGCCTGAATCTTGCAGCCGTTGTCGAGTTGATTAATCATGGGGGTGCAACTATCCCTCACATTCACCTTTCTCACAAAAAGCCGAGATACATTGGCTTCTCCATTCGGAAA